CCTTCTAAACCAAGGCATGTTCTTGCTTATTTTTGTAGACGATGGATGCTGTCAGATCTCAAATCTGTTGTGGATGTAGGCAGCGGGGAAGTTGTTCAAGTACTTAAAGCCAGCACTGTGAGGCTTTTCTGTGCAGAGCACAAGTCTGGCTTGGCTTTTCACCTTGGAGGGTGGAGTTCATGTCTTTCAGGGCCTAAGTTTAAGTTTCTCAAGGGTTCGCTTTACTTGCTTCCCTGTCAACCACTGTCTCCCATGGCTGACCTCTCACTCAGTCACTGTGTGTGTGTGGTGGGGTGGTTACGCCAAGACCCTGCCTGAAGTGAAGCTTTCTGTTCATCTGAGTCTCACACTTAAATAATCCAGTGCTTCCTGAAACAGTGCCTGACTAAGCTCTCTGGCAGTACGGTGGCAGTACGTAATTGAATCTTTCTCTAGCTATTTGCCACCATGCAGAAGGAACTTGGGGGGAAACCCTGCACTACTGTTGCAGTTCACAGTAGCTGTGGCCTCCACCTCTTCTGAGCCCTTGTCCCCGGCCCAGTCTATCATTGAGCTCCCAGCATTGGGGGCTTACCCTGAGTCTGCAGAAGCAGCTTTCTCTCCTTCACAGAAGCTGGGGGGACTTCCAACTGCTTTACTCTTTTCTCTCCATTGTAGTCCATTGCTCCAACTTCTTTGTAGCTTCTAATTTTCCTGTCAGTTCCTTCCTGTTTCCTGCTAGTCTCCTTTTTTTCCCCTCTTCATCAAGTTGATAATTTTTAGTGTCTAGATTCCAGATCTTCAGGGCTGAATTTGGCCACTGATCACAAGTCTACCACTTTTCAGTCCTCTTTTTTGTGGGGTAAAGTATGTGCATGTCTGCATGCACATACTAGTAACAACTTTACCACTGAGCTATATCCCCAGCCCTGCTGTGGGTCAAATACAGTTTATCTTGGAAATGCAAGGTAATGTCTCTTGATCCTTCACAAATCAGTGTATCAGCAGACAAATGAAGAAAACCTTATTTTAAATTCTTTCATGCTAAAATGTTGTCAAATTAATAAAGGAAAAAGGAACTTCAAAAATGAGAAAGACTAAAATAATTTCTTCCAAAATTAGGGGATGTTGCACAGATATTCACCATTACAATGTCAACTCACCCTTTTTTGAGGAGATCCTGGCAATACAGTGGGCTGGAAAGGAAAAAGGTGTCCAGAGAAAGGACAACATAAAACTGTCTGTTCACAGATGTCAGTATTGTTTTTGTAGAAAATCCCTAACTAGTATTTTTGAATAAATCTCATAGATAACAAACAAGTTTAGCAAGATTGTAGGAGACAAATTCAGTATTTAAAGATTAATTGCATTTCTCTACTAGCAGTGAATATTTGAAATTTATAATGTACCCTTTTGTCTACCACAGAGAAAAGAAAATTTGAGATATACTCCACATTATGTGAAAAGTTTAATGCGGAAATTCTTAAAATCAATGATGAATCAGTGTTGAAATCAATGATGACCTAAATGCAGATACTGTGTTCATAGATTAAAAGAGTAAATACTGTTGTCATTTCTACCCAAACTGATTTGTAGATTCATAGCAATTCCAATCAAAATCTAAATATAAGTTTTAATAGAAAGGGAGTTAATTCTAAAAGTTATATGAAAATAAAGAGCAAATACAATAGCCAACAGTTTTGTAAGAAAAAAAGAAAAGTAGAAGCTCATGCTGTATGTTTGCAGGACTTCTTACAAATGGGTAGTGTGGTGAAAGCATGAACTGGAACAGAATAGAATGGGTTTTTGAACAAAAATGTGCAGGCAGTTCAGTAGAGAAAGGAAAGCATTTTCAACAAATGGTCATGGATCTATTTTATGGGCCGATGCCTCCCCCATTGGAATTCCTAATGTATTATACAGATTATATAAAAATTAACTTCAGGATCAGATAACTAAACTTATAAAGCTGAAAGTTCCAGAAAGCAGGAGACAATCTTTGACACAAAGCTTGGCAGATTTTTCTTATATACACTGTCAAAACTTGATCACGAAAGAAAATTTTTATAGTGTGACCTGGGTTAAGACCTTGAGAGGCATGTGTGAGGACCTGGATTCAGTCCCAAAGACTACAGAAGAAAAGTTGACAACTCAGACTACATTAAAAATATGAAATTATGTTCATTGAAAGACTATTAAAAAGATAAAAGGCACGGTGACACAGGTCTGTAATGCCAGCACTTGGGAGGCTGAGGCAGGAGGATCTCTGTGTTCAAGACCAGTTAGAACTACATAGGGAGACCAAGTCTTTAAAAAAAAAGTGACAGGTTTATACTATCTGAAGAAAAGACTGACCACAAGTTGTCAGAAAACATTTCCAAATCATGTGTGAGAAAGAAATTGTATACGTAAGGAATAAGAAGATTCAGTTTTAAGATGGAAAGATACATATATATTTATTTCAAATAAATACATGAAAAATTAACCAGTTTCATTTGAAATTAAAGTCACATTGTGATACCACTATAACCTTTCAAAGAAACTGTATTTGTGGCTATAAATAAATTACCCCTAAACTTCATTGCTTAAAATGGTAGTGATTTTCTCAGTATTCTGATCCTAGAAGTCTAAGATCAAGATGTCGGCAGTGCTGCTTCCTCCCCGAGCTGCTAAGAGAAAATTGTTTTTGTCTTTTCCAGTTTCTAGTGACCTGTGCATACTTCTCTCATGGCCACACACTTTGTGGTAGCATCTTGCCTGTGTCTCTGTCTTACCTCCTAAGGACACTTGTGATGACATGTAGGGCCACCTGCATAATGCAAGATACTGTTTCATCTCAATATCCTAAATTAATTACATCTTCAAAGAACTTTTCCCAAATAAATTGGTATTTACAGTCTGAGGATTAAAATGTAGGCATTCCTTTGGGGAGCCACCATTTGGACTACTATGTGGCTAAACCGCAAGGACAAAATGGACAGCACTCACTGTAATAATTTGGAGCAATTAGAACCTCACACATTACTGTTGGAAATACAAAGGCTCCAGCCACTTTGTAAAAAATGCTTGCCAGTTTCTTAAAAACAGACACATTGGTCAGAAATTTGCCTACTGCATATTGAAGTGCATTGCTTTTATAGTAAATATAGCACTTCTGTGCCAGTGTATTATAAAAACACCATGAGTATTGACTATAGTACTTAGGTCAGGGTAGGTACATAAAATGAGAGCAACTAAAAGCATGTATTAAAAACCAGTGAGTAAAACATAAATGATTAAGAGGTTTTAGTGTGTAGTTTATTTTTTTGTACATATAGTAAAGGGCCAGTTCTAGGACAATGGTTAAGTGGCACAAATAGGCTACACTGTCTATTTTACAAAAAAGTAAATTCAGGTGAGATAAATTGAAAACTACTAGGAAAAAAACCATGCAAATACTCTAGCATTATGGAGTTATAAAGAACTTTTTTTTTTTTTTTTTTTTTGGTATCAGGGATCAAACTCATGAGTTTTCCAGGCAAGCGCTTTTGCTGCTGAGCAGAATCCCTGGCCCTTAAAGAACTTTTAAGCATGGCTGCCTTGATAGAAACTTACATGAAGAGAGTTTGGCTACATGAATTATTAGAAGCCCTACACATTTTTAAAAGTACTCTATTTAAAGCCAGAGGCTTTTTCTGTTCTCCTTTCCCAGTAGTTCTTGGGGTTGGAAATCATTCATGCTTGGAGATGTTTTACAGCCACAGTCACTGGTCAGCACTCTTCAGGAACTCACTGTGAGCAGCCTTTTGTCTGCATTAGCCTGGTTCTGACAGCAGTCAAGGAGCGGTGGTCTGGGGTGGCCCCATTTTTTATATTACAGTTAATAAATAGTAAGTTAAAAGGCTGGATTTGGGCTCAGGCAGTCTTGCTTCAGCAGCAATACTATTAACCTCTAGTTTGCACTACTTTGGAGTCAACACAGCATTTTGAGGTATATCTTTTGATTTAAACGTCATCTCTCATTTTTAGAGCTTAACCTTGATGTGTTCTTCCCCTTCTGGTCTCTTTCCTGCCCCCACCTTGAGAACCACAGTACCCTTGTAGTCTCTAGTACTGGCTGACACCTAGTAGTGGATCTCATTCCACTGGAATAGTTTCCTTCCAAGTCATGGATCATAATAACTGGGCTTCATGTACAACATTTATTACCCAGGAGCGATTTTATGGAACTGTTATGCATGGACGCATTTGTTACTAGCATCCCAAACTGATAGACTGTACGATGTATCCTGTAATTTAGGAATTGTGTCTCCATTTTTGTTTTCCAAGTTTTCTTGTTAGAGACTTGCTATTAGTATAATAGCAAGTTATAAGGAGTTAAGAGGTTTAAAAGAAATCATATGGGGCCAGGATTTAGCTCAGTGGCGTAAGTGCCTGCCTAGCAAGTGTGAGGTCATGGGTTCGATCCCTGGCACCCCCACACCCCTTTCCAAAAAAGAGAAATCATGTAATTTCTTACCAGATACTGTAGCCCTTCTGGATTTCAGATCATGTTGGCTGGTCCCCATGAAGATTTTATTATACCATCTTTGTGGATGTATGTGTTGAGAGAAAGGGGTGGATACAGGGGATTCAATCCAGGGACTTTGTACTAAGCTATATCACAGGCGACCCTCGCCCCCACACACACACCAGATTTTTTTTTTTTTCCTTTGTCTTTTTCCTTTTTATCGGTACTGGGGAATCGAACCCACAGCTGCCTACTTGCCAGGCAGGCGCTTATGCCGCTGAGCTAAATCCCCAGCCCCCACACACCAGATTTTGCTAAGTTGCTGAATTGTACTGATTGGCCTTGAACTCACAGTCCTCCTGCCTCAGTCCTCCCAGTGTGTCACCTTGCCCAGCTCCCTCTTTTATTATACACTCTGTGTTCCTTATTGATGCTATTGTTATATAATCGTTGAGGATTTGCCTGCATGGTTAGTAGGGAGCATACTGATTTATTCTGAAATTATAATAACTAAAGTTACCTTTGTTTCAAGATTTGAAGGCCATATAGAGATATGCCCACCTGGCATGAGTCATTCGGTATGTTCAGTCAACAAGAGTGTTCTAGAAGCCATCAGAGGAAGACTTCGATCTTTTCATGAACTCCTGCTTGAGCCACCCAAGGTAGGTGGGCTGTACCAAGGCATGGCTGACCAGCCAGGGATTTGGTGTGAGCAGTTGCTGGAAAGTATATGAGTTTTATAACAGAGTTAGCTATAGTTAGTGTGTGCAGAATATACTAAAAAGACACACTGCCAATGTTCTTACTGCTTTTAAGATAATTTTAAATGAGCTTTTGTCTATATAAATGTTGTTTAAACTGATGAGATAGAATTACACAAAATATCTGCTTAGAAAACAGCATCTTGTTCTTTTCTTCTTCAAATTCATAGGTACATAGGTATACTAGTAAAACAAGCAGTTTTCTTCTTATAGTACATTCTTTGCACTTCTTTAAAGGGTGGTTTTGTTCTTGTCTTTTGAGGGTGCGGGGGTTGGTACCAGAAATCAAACTCAAGATTGTATGCTGGCTAGGCAGTTGCTTATGCTGCTGAGCTATATCCCCAGCCAATAAAGTTAATTTTTTGATTTTGATCTTTGAAATTGTATTTTCTTATTGAGAGTAGAAGTAGTCTGGTAGACACATGAGCTACTTAAGAGATATAAGGTTGGGGTTTTAGTGTACAGTGCAGAAAAGCCATGGCTTGGGGCACTAGATTTTCAGTGGGGAGCATCTGCCTGCAAATTGTGGAATGCATGTGGACATTACAAAGACTAGGAAAGAGGATGTCAGCAGTCTGTAAGTGGGAATCTTCCTTACACTTGGTAAAGCTCTAGTGGAAAGGGTGTCTGTCACCTGCCTGTGAGTGGGTTTTCCTATGCTCCATGCCACTTGGCTTGAGACAGAGATGTAAGTCAGGATGAAATTCTGTGCAGCTCTGTGAGAGTTCTGCTCCTGTACCAGTTTTCCCATGTTGCTCTTTGATTTTGCCTTGTATAATTAGATCCACTTTCCTTGTAGTATGTATCTCCATGACTATCTACTTTATGGGTTACTGAAAATTTAATATACTGGTTTCTTCTACATGAGATGTTTTCTGTTTAACCACTTGGAAGATGGATAGCACAGAATAATTTGCATTTGTACTCCAGAGAGTCTAGTTCAGCTTCCAGGTTGTCTTTGCAGGTGCTGAGCACTGTCAGTGAGCCACAGGCAAGGATCTCCTCTCCATGTGTTGATGCTTACCTCAGGGAAAGTGCTCCTGTTGGTGTTTAATGGTTTATCAGTGGTATCTTTTATGCCAGTTCTAGAAACAAGAATGGGAGGTAAACAAGGAAAAATATATAGGACAAAAGGAAAGACTGTCACAAATGGAAGATTGAGGTGGGAGAAAGATCTAAGAGAGGAGGTACATGATGAAGATGCCCACCTGTGTTGTAAGGTGGTCTACCTCACTTCTCCCTGGTAGCAAGAAACAAGGCAGCAGTCAGTTCTTTTCCCAGGCAGTATCTCCTTGGAACTTCTTCTTTAGTCCAAGAATGAGCCTTTGTTCTTAGTTTTACTATGTAATGAGGTGTGTGCGTAGATCCATGAAGATTTTTTTTTTTTTTTGTCGTGTTCCTTTTTATTGGTACCGGGGATCGAACTCACGACTGTCTACTTCCAAGGCAGGCACTTATGCCGCTGAGCTAAACCTCCAGCCCCAAGATTTTTTTTTTTTTTTTTAATTTTACCTTTTCTTTCTCTTGCTTTCTTATCCCCCTCCCCCGAATGGTGCTTTTCCTTTCTTTCTTTTTCTGTTTCTTTTTTCTTTCTCCCAGCCCCCCTTTCTTTCTATATGACAGTGGAGCTCAAAGCCTTATGCATGCTAGGCAAGCACTTACCACTGAACTATGTCCCCAGCTATTATGAAGCTTTTTAGAAAGTCACAGCTGTCTCACATACAGCAGTAAGGCTGTAAATTTACAATCCCTTTGGGCCTCAGGAGGGAGGGGGCCAGAGGGTATGGAAAGGGTGATGTGAGTGGACTTTCTAAAGGGGAAGTGTCACTGCTGTACTGTAATTTACTACTTTTTTTCTGCCAGACGTTGAAACTTTGCAATGTTGTACTTCTGTCTGTTGTGATTTCAAACTATAGAAACCTTCTTTATAGATAGCAGTAGGTTTGAGTTGATGACGCTTCAGGGTTGTAACCCCAGGGCAGCATCTGAGATTGTATTTGTATCATGGATTTGGCAGAGACTGAGGACTGTTTTCCAAAATCACTGTAACTCCTTTTAGTTTGTTAAACTTCTGATTTGAATTTGAAATATTCTAGCTCCTCTCCCCCATGGAGTTATACAACTTCTTCCTTCTCTGCTTGACAACTTCGAGTGTTAGGGCAGGGGTACACTTGATTTCTTATCTAGGGTAGTTATTTGATCTTTTTGCCCCCTCCCCCCTGTATTTTTCATCATCTCTTAAACATTACAGCAAGCGCTTTAGATTTGCTTTTAGGCATAACATTCAGGCCAGAATTTTTGTGGGGTTAGTTTGCCTAGTGGTGTATCTCAAAACATAAGCTTTTGCTTGTTTGTTTCTTTAACTGAATTTAATTGGAAGTTTTTCTTCCTCAGAAAAGTGTGATGAAGACTACATGGGGTGTGTTAGATCCTCCCGTGGGGAACACTCGGTTGAACGTGATTAGGTTGATATCCAGCCTGCTTCAAACCAATACCAGCAGTATAAATGGGGACCTTATGGAGCTGAACAGCATTGGAGTTATATTGGTGAGATGATCCCTTGCAGACATTTGAATACATTTATTATAAATTTTGGATGCTGATAATCGTTCAGGAGTTTCTTATTGTTGCTGTATATAAAGCATTTCGATGAAGATTAATCAGATTTTCCCTCAAGAAGCCCAGATCCATGTCAGCAGTACTTGCCAGCTGCAGTGTTGGGTTTCTATTCAGAATTGGCAGGAAGATATGCCTTGATCTCCTTTTCATAGGAGTACATCTGATGAATTTAAGGCTGCCTGATGTTAAGATTTGAGCCTCCATTCTTCTTTCAGACAGCAGTGGTCTGCTTGTCAGTGGAAAGGAAAAAGAAAAGCCCAGGAATAATCTGCCCTGCATTTTTCCTTGATCATGGTTTGTGCTTGAAATGTACTGACTCAGCTCTGGATCTCATGCTTGCTCTGTCTGTCCTGCCATCCCCAGCACAGGGAATCATGAGGATTAACACTCCACAGTTTTTACAAGACATCTCGTCACATCATACATTTGGAAAGATTTTGGGATGTTTCAGAGGACATCTTTGCTTAGTATAAGATGGGCATTAAAACATGTATTTTAGATACACTTTTCTTGGGATAGTGTAAAAGTGCTATGTATGATAGTAATCTGTTTTTTAAGTCATTTCTGGAGAGGTAATGCATTGTCTGGATACCGAACAAGAAAGTCAAGATTTGAACTCGCCTAATTTCAAACCTATATATACGATCATCTATGCTGCTATTCTTACTAACATCACTGAGATGTTTTGAGTTACATTTCAGCTTCTGTTTAGGTGGCATACCCATCTACAGAATGGAATGATTTGGAACAAATTATGTCAAGTGTAACTTGAAAAACCTTTGTCCTTCTAGAAGATGTGCATGTCACCATCTTTTACATCTCATTTGTTTTTGCTGCTGTTCTAGAAATTTTCAAATGCTATAGTAATTATTCTTTGTTAAATTACAAGCACTTCCAGATGGGAAACCACATTTTTGTCTAACTCTGCTTCCCACATTGCACCTAGCACATTGCTCTGAACAAAAACCATTAGTAAATATTGTTAAATCAAAGTGGAATTCTTGGGCCAGGGACATGGCTCGATGGCTCAGTGCCTGCCAGGCAAGCATGAGGTTGTGAGTTTGTTTTCTGGCACCACTCCACCCCCACCCATGACCCTGCAAAAAAAGAAAAAGAAAAAGAAATTCTTAAGTTTCTTTGAAAATTAACTGAACTTAATATTTGCATTAGTTGCTTTGAAAACAAAGATATTTCCCTATCTCTTCTTTGTAATTTTTTATTGGTTTCTATTAGATTCTGTGCAAATTCTGGCATGTTGAATGGGGGGATAGGTTGTTTAATGTGTGAAGTGGTATTATACTTTCTTTCTTTCTGTTTAAAATCAGTACCGGAGATGGAACTCAGGACCACAAGCTTGCAGCAGGTGCTTAGGCCACTGAGCTAAATCCCCAGCTCCGTGAAGTGGTACTTCAAACCACGTTCTTTTAATTAGCCCTCTTGGTCTACGAACACATCGTTCTTAGTTTATTAAATCGCCCTGTAAATGTAGTGAAGTAGTGGCTTGAACATTGAGGTAACTGAAGAAAACATTTTTCTTTTGTAGGACATGTTCTTTAAATATACATGGAATAATTTTTTGCATACACAAGTGGAAATTTGTATTGCACTGATTCTTGCCAGTCCTTTTGAAAACACAGAAAATGGCACAATTACTGATCAAGACTCTGCTGGTGACAATATGTTATTGAAACATGTAAGCTTAATCAGTTTTATTTTGTTTCTACTGTTTCCTAGTGTTAGTAGCTTTGCGCTTTAGTATGGAATGCTGTAAAGGGCAGATTAAGTTACATTGCAGAGTACTAAAATTTAACTGTCATATGTTTATTGCATTTTTAACCTATTGTTGTAAATCAAATCCTAACTAGATAATCATTGTGTGAACTGACTTTTTAAAAAACTGAGTATCATGGCACATGCCTATAATCCCAGCTACTCAAGAGGCTAAGCCAGGAGAATTACAAGGTCAAGGCCAGCAGGGGCAATTTAGCAAATCTCTTTTCTCAAAAACTAAAAGAGAGCTGAGAGTGTAGTTTAGCATTCTTTGGGTTCAGTCTTCAGTAATGATGATGATAATAATGATGATGATTAAAAAATGTAAGTAACCACTTTGGTACATCAATGTATCGAAAAATATATATTTTACACTTTTTATATTTAAATGGTACAGAGAACATTGGAACAGTTCTTGGGGACACTAGAATTTAATTTCTAGCGCTAAATAGATGACTGAAAGTTTGGAGATGTGCGTTCTATTGATGTTAATGAGGCTATTTTTAGCATCTTTTTTTGGTAAAATACAGAGTGATTTTACTAAGCCTTCACATTTTCTTCTGAAGGTTTTTAATTTTAGGCAATTTCTAGCTTACATTTGATTTATTCTAAAACATAGAAGGTACAAAAGACTAGGATGGAATAGCCCAAGTAGTTAGAGAAAATTAAAGACATCTGAAATAAACTGGCGTTACGTATTCCAAGATTACAGTCCCCAGCAGTTGTCACTGATTGGCAGGATTTTGGCAAGGCATACCTGTTTTTAATATTGACATAATAGTAGGGCACAGAGAAGTGTTTCTGACATTTAAAAATTGTAGCTATTTCTTTGAATTCTGAGTTGTTTTGCCGAGGCATAATTTTATTTCATTTTCATGTTGGTCAGGCTCTGTACGTCTGACCAAATTTACCAGCTGATAAATTCTGGCTTTGCCTCAGGTCAGCTGCTCACTTGTAGCAGAGCAGTACTTGTCTTCCCGGTGGATGCTGGGAGGCATGAGTCTTTTTCTGAATCGCTGTAGTGTTCATAGGGTCTGAAGTAACCTTACCCCACTGCATTGCATTTCGGTTGGCCAGTATCTCAGAACCACATGTAGCTTGCTGTGTTATGCATACCACTGTTCTGTTTAACTAGAGCTGTATTTCACTTCAAAGTTTTGACACTTTGATGTTTATATAAATGTTAACTGGAGTATTCTTTCTGATTCAGCTTTTTCAAAAGTGTCAATTAATAGAAAGAATACTTGAAGCCTGGGAAATGAATGAGAAGAAACAGTAAGTAAACTTTCATGAAAAGAATTCACTTTGATTTAGAATTTGATTTAGAATTTGTATTCCCCATACTCACAGGCCTTAGTTTGAAAAAATTAAAATAAGTTACGATAGACATTTTTCTATATATATTGGGATATTTAGATACTAGAGTGAACAATGTAACAATTCTTGGGCATATAGAATTTAATTTCTCTTTTCTCCTTCCCTTGGGTGGAAATTTCTGTCTTGCCTTTGGAACTCCCTGGTGTTTATGAAAGGCTGTTTTTCTGAGAATGATCTGGAATGGAATGAAAAACAATCATAAAGTTAAGTCCTCCTTGATGATGGTTTCACTTGGCTTATTTGTCATGATCAGTCTACTTAGAATGGAATATATCGGGGACATGCTTTCAATGTAGAGAAGAGTTGCTACATGCATGGAACGAAAGGGAAATTTTACTTAATATTTTGTGTAGACAATTTGTTAGCTGATAAACTTACATGAAACATTAGTTGATACAGTACATGTAAGTAGCTTTGTTATGTAGGCCTCCTTCATTTGTGATTGTCTATTGCAGGCATTCTTTAATGCCCAGGGAAAATGCATGCCCACCTCATAAATTCTGCAACAAGTGGCATAGGGTAGATTTGGGGAAACACTTTCAAAGTACATTTCTTGCATGAGTATGAGGTTTCTGTTTTTAAATTGGCAAACGTGTGTATGTATTCATGGAATATGTGTAATAATTTGATTTAGATATATAATACATGAAGAGCATATTGGGGTAGTTAGCTTGTGTTTGTTGGGAACATTCAAATTCTTCTAGTTATTTTAAGATATGTAAGTTACTATACTCTGTAAGTGTCCTGCTGTGCACTAACCACTAGGACTCATTCCTTCTAACTTCTGTTCTTTCTTCCTCTACCCTCCTATCTAGTAACTATTATTCTACTCTTTACTTCTTGAGACCAACTTTTTTAGCTCCCACATAAGAACATTGCACTATTTGTCTTTCTGTACTTTGCTCTTGTTTCAATTACTGTTCTCTATTTCTGTCATGTTAGCAAAATGACAGGATTTCATCTTTTTTATGGCTGAGTAACATTTTCGTTTCCATTCATCTGTTAATGGACTTATATGTTGATCCATATCTTGACTGTTGCAAGCAGTGCTACAATAAAATGTATCTCTGTTTAGATTCATTTGTAGTCCCCTAAAGGACTGGGTGGCTCATGACAGATGTCAGCTTTATTTTATGAGGTTTTAAAAAAAACTGTAGGGTTTTCATTTAATTCTTTCTGGGAAATTGGCTTTTAGTTTGTGTGGCTGTACACCTCAAACATGCTTTTCTAAGTGTAGCTTCTTCGGGGACACTGTCTCTGGCCCATTTGACATGTCTGTCAGATCCCATCTTAGCCCCTTTCTCTCCCTACCTCATTGGGCCAGCATTTAAATGGCCTGCCATATGCAGATGAGTGGCATTCTCTTAAGCTAGAGGGTTCAGAAAAGGAATTTCTTAATGTGTTCTTACACTGAAAGCTAAAGCAGGTTGGAAACCCTGGGCTGAAAGCTTGCACACATGAGCCTTTGTTTTCGTTTGTGGGCTTGGGAACGCCAGAAGTCAGAAGTTGCCCACAGGAACACCTGGGTCTTCTAACCTTACTATGAAAGTGAGAAAGACTCTTGGTGATGTAGTTGAAATCACTCCCATGTGACCTCAGACCCTCTGAGATTATCCAGCAGATATTTTCCAGCCGAGCGTCGAAGCATAGTGTGAGTGATGGATTGACTAAGTTAATGGTTCCTGGAAGGATTTTTTTCTCTCCTTAAGTAAAAATCTGTTTTACTAGTATTCTGCTGTTTATAGTTAAAAATCTTTGTGTCATGAAGTTAAAGTCTCCCCACTTTGTAAAGTGAGAAGTCAACATTGACATAAAAAGTTTGTCTAAATGAAAGCGTGCTTATGGAAGTCTAGATTCTCCATAATGGAAAGGAGTGAGACTTACGTTTATTTGCCCTTGTTTAAAATGGTTTGTTGGCTGGTGCAAGTTTACTGTCTTTGCCAACTCCTCAGATCAACAATTTGAATAATGCTGTTGAAGGCCAAGAGTGGTGGCTCATGCCTATGCTACTGACACTCGGAAGGCTGAGGCAGGATTGCAGAAGTTTGAGGCCAGGCTGGGCTATCTAGGGAGTTCTAGAACAGCCTGAACTACATAGTGGGACCCTGTCTCAAAAAACCAACAAGAAAAATGCTGTTGGTAGGTAATTATCTCCATCAATTAATGTAACTATGATATCTTTTAGAAAACAAATGAGCAGGATTCTGCCCTTAGTTCCCTGCAGTCTAATTAAAGTCTGAAAAATAGTTTTACAAAAAGATCCAAAGAAGATTATAGTAATAGGCATCAATGAATGGTTAAGTTGCTGTGTTAAAATCAATTCATAATTTTTTTTTTTTTAGCATTTTGGTAAACTATCCTCCTAAATGAAACTGCCGTGTAATCTTTCAGTGAGCAGTTTCAGTCTAGTCCTGCTGGCTGCCTGATGGTGTGCTGGTTCCCTCTCTTTATTGTTTCTCCTTTGTTTTCTGTCCATTGTAATCTTTAGTGCCCTCAGTTTTCAGAATCAGTTTAAATATCCACAGTATTTACCAAGTGTCCCCCACTGGGGATCTGAGGATTTGTCCTTCTTCCTTACCAGAGCTGAAGGAGGCAGACGGCATGGTTACATGGGACACCTCACAAGGATAGCGAACTGTATTGTACACAGCACAGACAAGGGGCCTAATAGTGCACTGGTGCAGCAGCTTATCAAAGGTAAGTTGGTTTAACTATATTTCTTTTGGATTGTAGCATTTTTAATAGCTTGTTTAATAGTAAAATAAAATTATAACATTTTTAATAACTTGCTTGTCGAGTTTCTTTCTGTTTGCAGATTGTCTGGAGATCTGAATGTGGCTCTCGACTGTATTTCTGCTATCCTTTTAATAGTTGCTGGCCAACGTTAGCATCTTGGGGTGCACACGATTGTTAAAAGGCATTGCTTGCTAATTTGTTAAGGATTTTGAGCTTTGAACATTTCTCTGCTGGCAGTAAAGCCACTTGAGCTATAGTTACTCTTGATTTATTTTACTTTTCTTCTGAAGCCCTCTGTCTCACTTGTGCATTCATTGCCTTTAAATTGGGCTTCTAAGGTATTTGTGACCATTTCCTTTAGTATCTCTATCACTAAAAGGGAGAGGGGTCTTGGCTTCCCAAAGAGAGTCTCTCTCTCTCTCTTTTTTTTTAACTAGCATTTCACTTTTAATTTGCCCAAGGTTACCTGGAAAAAACTGAATGTCTTTTACACAGAGGCCCAGGCCACAAGTCCATCTCTTCTGGAATGAGAGCATCAGTTTGAGTTTCTGCCCAGTGGGGATTACTACTAGACATAAGAGTTCTCTGAGTGTGAGGAATCTGTAACATCCCTGAAGCAGAGTTCCTTCAGAGTTAGCTTGCTGAAAATTGTTTCCTGACATATCTATTTTTCTCCTAAGAATGTTTGGTCAAGAGGCTGCTACATGTTGAATGTACAGACATTGCTCATTTAACAACCTACCTGTTTAACGACCTTCCTGATTAAACTGTTTGGACTTACTGCCAAGGCACGCTTTTGGAACTAGAACCTATTGTTCAGAATTACAACACAGGAACATGAGCAGCAGTGTGGCTGTAGGGTAGCTTCTTACACAGTATGCTATTGCAATTTTCAGTGATTGTACTAATCAGTTCAGTACTGTAGTTTAGTGTTCTGTTATGTATTATAGTACCACATAAAGAGTTATGCAAATAAAAGCAGTCATCAAGGTGGAGTTTCCTTTGACCACTTCGTTGTTATGAATATTGTAGTGTACATACTATATACAACTCCTCATTTAGTGACCAAGTCATGTTAACAACCTAGTCGCAGGGAATGAAACTGTCTTTAAACAAGTAATATCGGTATGTTACAAACCTAGTTGTCAGTCACCCAGTGGGTAAAAACTTACGGTTGCCCACCCTGAGTTTTGCTTCTTGAGAGTTGTCTCTTTTGTAAATTCTTTCTCACCAGATTTCATGTACTTACCAAGGAGAAATGGCTGTATAATGTGATTTAAATTTTGGGGGCTGGGGATTTAGCTCAGCGGCATAAGCGCCTGCCTTGCAAGCAGGCAGTCGTGAGTTCGATCCCCGGTACCAATAAAAAGGAAAAAGACAAAAAAAAAAAAAAAGAAAGAAAAAAAATTTTGTAGATCACCTTTCTTTTATGGAAGTTGTTTGTCTGGCAGTATGTGTGCTTGTGTGAGAATGCACCTATGCCTGGATATTTAAGCCATAATTGTCAATTTCTCACATAGGCCTCTAACATTATAGCCATTGTTTCATTTTCTCAGAAAACCTAGTTATGTGTCCTTTGCTTTAAAAGTTTTCTAGAAGATAGACTTTCATTATATATATCTCCTGTATGTTGGTTCATGAGGCAGGAATTTAAGAGATATTATCTTAGAGAAGTTTGAGAAGACAAATGAGGTTCCATGAAACGTTACTGGCCAGGAACCATCACAATGTCTTGCAAAAGTGTAAGAGCTGTCATTTGTAACATTTCCTAAACCTTCTTGCCTATGGGAAAAGTTGACTCCCCACCTGTGTGAGGTTTCCTGACTTCTTTCTGTCAGAGCAAAGGGCTGGCTGTTGCTAGCTCCTCAGCTGACAGGTTTGCTCATAGCATCAGTGAAAGAGGCAGGCTGCTCTGCATGACCATCCACTCCAGTCTGTTCATGGCCACTATAGTGATAACGCTTTTCTCCTTTTCTTACTCTGAAGATCTTCCCGACGAAGTCAGGGAGCGATGGGAGACGTTCTGCACAAGCTCCTTAGGAGAAACGAACAAGAGGAACACGGTAGATCTAGTAGGTTTTACGAGGTTACATTTCTGTTGTTTTCAATGCTCTGAGACTTTACCCATTTATTCAGAAAAATGTAAAAAGGTCTTCTGTTTGGCCCAGTAAATGGGCCAAGGATCACTCCACATCTGTTTCTCAGGAAGAGAGGTCAATATTCATAATACTCTTGGTAAGTTGTCTGGTCAACTCCTGATTACCTGCCATGGATGTCAAAAGGTACTGAAAAGCCACAGATTTCTAGTTTATGCCATACTAGTTTCTGTTCCCCTGATGCTCTGCTCCCTAAGTACCTCAACAACAGCCTTCCTCTTACTGTGTGGGGTTTATTGCCTCATGCCTCAGATAACCCCACGTGCTTAAAAAAAATCCCAAATAATCCTATATTGTCCAGTATTATTGGGTTGAGTTCCTGTTGTTTTAGATCATTTTCAGTGAGGGAAAATTTTGTAGATGACTTTGAAATTCTAGTTTAAAAATCTTTAACAGAATTGGTACTTTCAGCCAGGGAATAATGGCATTGATAATTTTTTAAAAATTATATTGGACTTTGGAATGTATTTTTGTTTTTTAACACATTAAGGTTGAGGTAAGTATTGTTTGGTTTTGCTTTTAAAGATAGGGAATCATTTTCTTTTATAAGGATATGCCAGCTGATAAAGTGAGAGCCTTGGTTTAGAAATAGTGCTATCCACATTTAATTTGTTATTTGAAATCTAGCAGCTGTACTGTTGAATTTCTAGAGTATAGTAACAGTATACTATATCATTTACCTGGCAGCCTTATCTGTTTAGTACATAACTTTAAAAAAAGAGTGAAGCAGGTTTTGGAAGATAGAGTGTCCCTGAAACAGTGGTGGTGAACCTGTGGCATATGTGGTGCAGTGGGCTGTTTGTATCCTTGAACACTCTAAAAGATTTACCTATTACCCTAGGACATCTATATCACACTCTGTTGAGGGCCTCCTACCTGATAGACTAACAGATTTGGTTCTTTTTCCAGTCAGGACAGAGTAGTGGCATGTGATGCCTTTTTAAACTGACTTAGAAAGCATGAAGAGTTGGGAGAATTATGAAACAGAGGTAACTATTGAAAGGGAAACTTTATGGGGACATTTAATTAAAATGGGTCTATGTGTCCCACGTACTTCTTTGTTACAGCCCAATAGAGAAACTAACATTCTTACTAACCACTGTGGGTCATCAGGAAAGCCTAAATCATTTTTTCAACATACTACCCATTGTAAGTAGTTTTTAGGGGTTTGTTTTTATATTAACAAAATTAGTTAAAATATTAAGCAGGGTTAAATATTACCCAAAATATCTTGGATTGGTTTTTTGTTGTTGTTGTTTTGTTTTGTCTTTATACATTGAACTTGTCTTCTCCCATACTGTGAGATTTAACCATTTAATTTTAGAGGTTCTGTATTAATTCCTTGTTAAGAAAGCAGACCATATAGTCTCATAAAAGGGAATTTTTTTCATTGTTTCTTATATATAAAGGAATATTTAAGAATATTCTGCTTTTGTTTGGGAAATTTATATTAAAATTACCCTTTGATTTCCAAAGTAGATGTCAAAAATTTATCCAGCTGTCCTGAGTGCTGGGACTACAGGCATGTGCCACCACATCTAGCAGCATGCATTGAATTCTTGTGTTCATATTTGGTCTTTTAAATATGGTATATTTTACTTGTTTATATTCTATGATAACAAGCTAAATGAATATTTTTAATTAAAACATTTTTGAAATATAAAAAACAAAACTTACCAGGCTTTTAAAAATCTTAGGTAACTCAAGCAGACCTTATGAACAGCTATGCAGTAAAGGATCTCACTGCAATTCAGACAACACTTAGTTCCTTTTAATATACTCCCAGTAAACTTGTCACCTGACTGTGTAAATATCTTTATATACCTTGTGGAGAGGTGTGGCATACAGTGAAGAATGCGTGTCCAGTCCCCTTTGAGCCAGATGCTTGAAGACATTCATACTTGTGTTAAAATGAAAGTCCTCATGAGCTCCATCTGTCGCCCAGTGTGGAGCTCAATTCCTTTGTAGTACCATACGTGGACTATAGACATAATGAGGAGAAGGTGTATATAGCAAAAGATTTATAGAAACCTATTTACACTGCTGACTTCCCATTGAATTAGCACCACTCCTTAATTTTGCTTCCTACTGAGGTTTTCAGGTTGATCTGAAGACTTAATTTTCTATTCCCCGAACTTTTGTTAAATACTGTCTCCATTTAGTTGGAAGTCCTTCCAGTGGGGAATTTTGCATTGTAGCTTTTTTGGTTTTTTGTTTTTGGTTATTTCGTTTTGTTTTGATTTGTTGTTTTTTGTGACAAGAATTTGTTATGTAGTTCAAGTCTGGCCTTGAACTCATTATGTAGCCAAGGCTAACCTCAAACTTGAGATAATCCTTTTGCCTTAGCTTCCCAAGTACTAGAATAACAGGCTTGTCCTACCATGTGCAGCTCTGTATTGTAGTATTTAAGGGCTGCAGATCACTCGGGTTTTTAAGGATGCTTATACATTAATCCCAGGCCACCTAGAGATTTTAATTGAGTTTCATCCTTGAATTTCTGTCTCTGGTCAGGGAAATGCATTTTAAAAGTGTTGTTTGCCGCCCCCCCCCCCCCCTGCCGCCGCCATTGGCAGAGAGTATATGAAGGGGATATACAATGGCAAGAACATTGCTCATAGCAAATGCCTGGGGGTGGAAGTGAAAGTTAAGTGTTGTCAGCCCTAGGGTAGGCAGGGACCGGGGGTCAGCATGGAACAACACCGGAAGAAGCAGTGAGACCAACTAAGCAGTAGGACTAAGAGTCCGCTTCTCCTTCTCAGTGGGTTTCATAGTCACATCGTGCTCAGGGTTTTCTTTGGCATGCTACGTGAAGAAATCACCTATTTGCTTTTTCCTCTAACAGTAGTAGTTAGTAACCAAAAACTAAAGTAGGTAAAGTCTCAGAAGCTTTTTTTCCCACAATAATAACATCAAGAGTACTGTATATTTCACTTAGAATACATTGAGTTTGGCAAAAATGTTCTTAATATACACATTTTTTGTTATGTCTGTTCCCATTGAATGACTTATTAGTATTCATTAATTTAGTGTTTGAGTGCTTTCTCTGAGCTAGACACAAAAGGTAATAGTACTAAACAATACTGGCAAAAAATCCCCAGCACCAAAAAAAAAAAAAAAACTGGCAAAAATCCGTACTTTCAAGGAAAGGCTAAACAGATGAGTAACACTCTGAAGGGAGTTACAGAACGATTTGAGCAAAGTGCAGGATAAAACTAGGTGGTCCAGGAGAACCTCACTGAGGAGATAACATGTGGAGACTTGAAAGGAGATAAGGACCAAAGTACAGGAGCCCCAAAATTGGGTTGTTCTTAGTGTGTCCAGTCTGGCTGTAATCAGGCAAGGGAGGAGGCAGGAAAACATGAGGCCACAGAGGCACTGAACAGCCGGAATTTATACTCCTGTGTAGTCCATGGGGGAGCATCTTGGTTTTTTATCTTAGTGAGATTAGGTTTTAAACTAAAACAGTGACATAATTTGATGTCCATTTTTGAAAGATCTCTCTGGCTTAAGCAAGAGCCTTGCAGGCTGCTTCGTGAGTATTAATCAAGGCTTGCTTGCACTAGTGAGCTCTAGTAGTAGACGTGGTGAAGACTAATGGTAGTTTAAGTTACATTTTGAAGGTGGAGTGGATAAAAGAGATGTAGCACCTAAGAGATTTAGCTGAAGAAGAGAGAAAGTGGCATTTCCTGAGCTGGAGATGGCTCAGAAGGAGCGTGTTTGAAAATATGTATCAGGAATTTGACTTTGTATACATTGGAGTGATAAACAGGTTGGAATTCTGTTTAGTGAGTTTCTCTCATGGGTAAATTACTCTTGTTAGCTCATTTTATTAATGTTTTCAACCTGGAGCCACAAAGGTAGAATCAGAATCATTCTCTGTCAACACAGCTGTGAAAGTAAGTGTACATGCATTGTTATTTTTAATAGTAATTTGCTAAAAGTAGTTTATTTTTAAAGAAAAAGCATTGTAAATACCTCCTGGATTGCTTTTGAGGAAACAGTTAAGTAGAACTCCCTGAAGAAGTCACAACATCTGGCACATAGTAGTTGCTTAGCAGGCTTCCTCCTCACCTTAACTAATGAAGTGATAAACACTTATAGGAAAAAGTAAAAATCTGAGGACATACTGTACCCCATTATATAAGGCTGTGCTAGGAGCAGCCAACCCTATTTTATTCTCTTTTGTTCTGTTCTAGCTTGCACTTTGAATTTTCCCCTCTCCCTATACCCTACCGTGATGTTGCACCCTTACATTGCACACTGGCTCAGTGTAACGTATACTGCTGCTTCTTAGGCAAATACCCCAAGACTCTTCAAAATTCATTTGGATGTAGTTGTTCCGGAAGATGTCAGCCTTGGCCACCACGCATAACCACACCCTGGTAGAGCTTTCCTGGGCCATCCCCAAAGATTGCTTGGAAGGAAAAGATATTAATCTTACTTACACAGTGATTTATTGAGAACTTCACAAAGCATACTTCAGACAGCCCTATTCGGGTTGTACTCTGGGCTGCTTGAACCAATGTCACAACAGCTTCCAAAGCAGGCCAGGCCAGTCCCAGAAGGCCTTGCTGTTAGGTATTCATAACAGTCAATAGGTGGCAGATGCTTGTGTCTTCCCTTATGGACCATATTCTCTGCCCAAAACACTTCTACAAAAAGTAAAGCATAAAACCTCAGAGAATACAGTACAAGTTACCCTCAAGTATACTGCTTGCTTCTAAAATTTTACAAGCTGCTTATATTTATCACTTGCTATATACTAGTTACTATTAGTAGTACTTTATCTTTTGTGTATATTGGTTCCTAATTACTAATGCATTTCCCTTTCCCCAGTATGATGTGAAATGTATGAGTACTTCATGTCTGTATTTTTTTAATTATTGAGAGTTGGCTATACATCATGGGTGTGGAAGGGTACATCTTCCTGGGCAGAGTTGGGGTGTTTTGGGAGCAGGAGACTATTGGATCAAATCATATTTACTGCTCATGGCCAATGTGGGAAGAAAACTCAAGAATTGTAGGTGAAATGGTTATATTTCAACGTGACCTTTCTTGTGCCTGTTGGTAATCCCTGGGGGAGTTGCAGTTTTGTCCCTATAAGTCTGGCATATACCAGCTGTTATTGTTTCAGACACACTACTCCTTCAACCTGTGCCCCCTTGTAAATGTTTAATTGGTGATAATTACAAAAATAATAATTTCAGTGGAATAACTCATCTCTTTTTTTTAAAAAAATCTGGTTTCTAGTGGTGGTAGTACTGAGGAGTGAAATAACCAGAAAAGGACAGCAGAAGGGCCAGTAGCCAGACTGAGGGGAGTGTACCCTTGATGCTTGGGTGGGTTTGACAATTTAACTGTTACTTTTTTTTTCTGTTACACATTGAGAGAAAAACTGAATGTGATTTTTTTCCATAAAAATGCTGATACAAATGTCCAAAACTTTTTCTATGTTAAATAGTTCTTTACATTTTTATGCATATAGGTTACAACCTGCCATATTCATTCATCCAGTGATGATGAAATTGACTTTAAAGAAACGGGTTTCTCACAGGATTCCTCTTTGCAGCAAGTGAGTCATGCCTAAAGCTTTGCTCTTTGTTTTCATTTTAAATGCTTAGTTTAGTTGCCATTTGTCAATCAGCTTTGGAGTCAGATTATGTATTAGAATGTGATTTGGGGTTACTTACTGTAGGGCCAAAGACTTAAAACAGTGATCGTTGGGTACTGCAGAGGTAGGTTTATACTGATACATTTCCAGGGGATATTTTGTCAAGTAAGTTTTCAGGGGAGTTGAAGTGGTTGGCAAGTCACCTGACACATGTCTGTTATGTAGATCTTTACCACAATTGAGTTGTTTAAATAGATTGGTATAGTAAAAACATGTAAGAATAATAGAAATAAGATTTTTAAAACATAACAGTAAACTTTTACCAACATCCTGAACCCAATGGCTTATTACAGTAACCCTTTCCCTATTAATGGTATGTTTCTAGTATCTTGAAAGTTCTATTACAGTGACATATATATTTAGTTTTAGTTGAAATAATGCATTGCCACCTGTACTTCTCTGCCCCAAATTTATCTCCTTTATCAGCTGTTTTTGTTGAGGGAATGATAGAACTAGTAAGTGTATTGATTTATCATCCGTTGAATTTTACTATTCTTCTAAGTGTCAAATTTGGGAGCTAAAGAGAAGGCCTGTAGCAAATGATCTGCAGTTTATATGGAAGTTGTCCTTAACCAGGACCAGAAGGTGTTGGCATATATATTGCTTCAGTGTGATAGTAGAATTAGACCATGCCTTCCCACCCAACACTGAACATTGCGTGGCTTCTTTTTACTCAGTCTTTAAGCCTCATCTTTTACTGGGACTTGGACAAAGCTCCAGATACTTAATGCTGACTGGTCTTTGGCTTCCAGGTTATTTATCTGTCAACTTGGGGCTAAGCAGTTGCTTGGTTTTGGTAGACAGATTAGCATCTACCTTTTCCAGATAGGTCCCAACTGGCATTTCATCTTGGCTGGCCTCCTCTTGATTCCTGACACTGCTGCCACTTGACATCTGGCTCCCAAGTACTGTACAGTTAGGGAGTAGCCAACTCATAGGGAGTGCTGTCAGAGAATCAGTGCCTTCTTGAAGATTAGACACTTTCTTGGTTTGTGGTAGTACTGGCCACCCAGGTGGCCCACCTGGCATATTGTGAGCCCTTGTGTCTACAAGTTACCCTTTTTTGTTCCTAGAACTCTCTGGTATTGTCCTAGGAAGCACAATGACAGTAGCTTCTCCACTGAAGCACCTGTGGATAGTGAAACAGTCAACTCCCTTAAGAATAAACTCAAATCCTACACGTTGCTTTGCCCCTGAGCTTGGTAGTAACAGATATAAATTATCAAGATGATTCAATACCTATTGAAATCTAGCATTGAGAGACAAAATATTCTAAACATCTGCTTGTAAATATGGTAGTAAACTTGAAGTTTTCTGCTTTTTCCTTTTTCTTTTACTTTTGATGGTGTTAGACATTGACCCAAAGCAATGCATGGTTACACTTTTTTTTTTTTTTAATCGGTACCGGGGATCGAACTCAGGACTGCCTGCTTGCAAGGTGCTTATGCCGCTGAGCTAAATCCCCAGCTCCACATAGGTTATACTTGTACCCTACCAATGGGTTATCTTGTCAGGCCCAAAATTCCAATAATAAATCAGTCAATTTTAGGGCATCTAGAAAGTGGATCCCCTTATTTCTCATGGTATAACGTTCAAGGGACTTTTCTTACTTTTTTTTTTTTTTTTTTTTTTAAGTTTGACTGACTGCTGGTAATGGGTATAAAACAATTCCAAGTCATAAACTGATTTAGTAATAGAGCCCTCACCAAGCTTTTAGTATTGTGAATTTTATCCACTTGCTGAAGAAGTATAGAAGGAAAAATACTCTTTTTTAATCAACAGGCTTCCAGTAAACTTTTCTTGGCATATTTAAGCTTACCAGGGATTGTTTTAAAAACAAACATGATGCAAAGGTTTTTTTAAAAGAAAGTTTAACAGTTTCATCGTAATCTGGTATAATCAGAATATTAATCGCAGATACCAATTTTTCATTCACATTTGAAATTGGGCTTCCTGTTGAGCAGTCCCCTAATAATAGCGCTCAGGGCAGCTCATTTAACCAGGTAACCATGTTACTAGTGGGGCCATGTGCGGTGCGGGTAGTGTCCTACCACATCTATACCCCTGTACATTTTGTTCTGGACTCCTGGTCCTTTGTGGTTTCCTAACACCTGGTGCTGACGCCGCATTCTAATTCTGCTCCCAGAAGCTTGGAAACAAGAGAGCTCTTTTACCTGCAGTGTCAAGAATTGAGGCCAGCCTCTCAGATGGGTGCTGGTTGTCTAACGCCTCTACCACCCTACCTCATGAGTAGGCTTGAAATAGACAGTCAGATCAATTTAATTCGCTAGTTGTTTCTGTGCCCTGGCGTAGTAGGACTGCCAAAGAGACTTGCTTAGTAAAGTGGTTAGCTCACTTCTCATCACAGCCTTGAATAGTCTCTGGTGTTGACCAGAGTGATAGTACTGGAAAGTGTGGTTTATAATTGCATGGCCTATGGTGCTTTCCAGATTTGGATATCTTGGACATTCAAAGCACTTTTGATATAACTTTTAAATAAAAGAATAGTTAAGAGTATTCATTTGTGTGGGTCTGTAAGCTTTGCTAGCTTTATTAATAAAAGTTCAGTTTGAAACATGAAGTTGTTTACTGGTTTGTGTATCCCTGAAAGTTAAAACAGACCTAGAAATTAAAGCTTTTATCGTTTTTTTTCCTTTTTAATTACTTCATGAAGTTACTAGTGTCTGACAGTTGCTGTATACAGATTCCTAGGTGGGAAGAATGAATGCAGAAATGTGTGTGTGCATGTAGATGTCATCTGTACATGTATATCTGTATATACATGTGATATACTTCCTATTTATGAAGATTATAGAAACACTTTAGGGAACACTTCTTTGCAGTGACTCAAAACAGTCATAATGTGATCGATCATTAAAATACAAAAACATTGAAGAAAAGTAGGGGAAAAACCCCACAACTAAGAATGACCCTTCCCCTCATAGCAGATTTCTAGTGTATAAGCTCGGAGCTTGGCTTCTGCTGCTTGTTCAACTAATGACTGCATAATTCTTTAGCACATCTTGAAAGTACCACACATCCTTATCAAACATAGGACTGCCATTCAGAGAAATTGGTTTCTTTCTTTTTTATTTAATGAGTGTGAATGCTGCCTGTCATGTTTTTTATTCATATTTTCCAAACTCAGCTCATAACAGAATTTCTCCTGCTCTTCTATTTTCAATCAAATCTCATGACTCAGCTTATTTTGTACTCTGTGCCTTACCCAGTGTCCTGCAAAGTTGCCTTTGCAGATATATCGTAAATGACCATCTGGCAGAAAGCTGCCTGCTGGTCTCCATGTACTCATATAATACCGTCTCTGTGAGCCAGAAGAGGAACAGCACAGCATGGAGGTGTGAATGAACTCAGGGTGGTGGGTGTGCACTGTCTTGCATTAGAGGAAAGTGAGATTGGGATTCTTTTCATGTATCCAAACTAGATACAGCTTATTTCAGATCTAAGCAAAAGATACCTTCCAAAGCCAAATATATAAGGTTTATTTTTTAATTACTAGAGTATGGATTATCCATGCCATAATTCCCTGCCACCAGAATGAGTCATTAGGAATTAATGGTAAAGGTATTTCTGCGTTGTGCATCTTCAGGATGAAATCTGTGGGCTCTCCTCAGTGTGGACCTAAGGAGAAGTCACTTTGACTTGGGGATCAAGTGTGGGAGTTGCCTGCTTCCCAGCAAGGGGCTACAGAAGTGCCACAGTTCAGCTGACAGTTTCTCCTGCTGCTCTCATGGGGCTGCTTTCGGGAAACAGCAGTGCTGACCAAGGGCAGCACACACACTGCTGTGTGGTCTTATGTTTAGTGTTGGGTTAGTATGACGAGGTGGCAAGTGCTTGTCTTTATGTATTCTTTACTACTTCTAATTAATCAGCATATTCCCTAATTTTACTTGTTCCTTGAGCCCATTTGTTCAGACTTAAGAATATCAACATTTTTGTGGAGTCTACAACATTCCCCCATTTTTTAAATGAGAAAACCCAGGTGAATCTTGCACTCACTAGATAATGATGAAAAGAAACAACTGGCTTTTCCATGGGCCTGCTAGTGTTCTAGGCTTTCTTGAATGATTTCAAAGGGTTAAAACCTTTGGTTTTCTACTTAAGGTAGGTAGTGTAGAAGTTACTTCTGTCTTACATTCTTTCCAGCCTGTAAGACTTAAGTCTTTTTCTGAGTTTTTTTGTTTTGTTTTTTGTTTTTTATTGAAGAAGATGAGCTGTTCCTAAATGTTTTATTTTTAGGATCATGATTGTGTTTGTTAGTCATTTTTCCTCTTACATTGTTTTGCTGTGGTGAATCGGGTGGAAGATGGCAAGGAGGGAGGGGGAGTTGGTACATGTTGGACCTTAGGATAAAGTTGGTTGTGTCTGTAAGGTGACTGACACCTCATAATTTCAGACTGCTACATGTCACTCAGTCATGTCTTCAGACAAGGCTTAATTTAAATCTGTCTCTAAACAATAGAGGACAATGGCCACTTAATATTTTTTTCAGTGATATGTGTCTTAGAACAATTTTTGGACCAAATTTCAAGCATTACCCCCTTTTTTGGCAAAATGTGTCTGAAATTATTTGATTTTTTTTTTAGAAAAACACACCAACTTTTAAAGCCATAAGGCTACATAAATAAGATGATTTCTGGAACACAAATGGGCAAATAGTGTGTAGAATGTCATTAGAATCATGATATCACTGTCACTGGTCCTGGGGTTGCCAGGCCTTTTCTGATTATCAGATGCAACAAATGACGTCCAATTTTATTGACCAGTTTGGCTTCAACGATGAGAAGTTTGCAGATCAAGATGACATTGGCAAGTAAGTATGTTTTCCTATTTCTGTGATTGCGCTCACATAGTGCTGCTTTTTCACTTGATCTTAGCCAAAAGGCCGAGAAGCGACATAGTGCTGCTTTTTGTGAGACTTTTTTTTTTTTTTTTTTTTTTTTAATTCTGCTGGGTTCTTGGGCCTCTCTAGTGGCATTCTTGAGTTGGAAAGAATATTCCCTTTTTGTGGCCCTGTAAGTCCAGCCTTGAGGCTGACTAGTTAAGAACAGTTAGGACTTAAAGTATCTCAAGGAAAAATGCAGTCACCATAGAATTTGATGTCTTTCTTAGAAGTTTGTTTTTGTTAGATTAACCTTACCCAAGTCATCATTTGCTCATCTAGGTGGTGTTAAATAGCATTATCTGAAGTACTTAGCTCCTGTGCTGTTCGTTACTTAGTTTGAGGTGTATTCACTTATAGAATGTGCAGTAGGATTTTATATTCCAGCAGATGACCAGGTTGACAGGAGTGGCTCTGCTGTGTATGTATTTAGTCTTGTAGGAGTCTTATTGTAAGGGAAATTTGGGCTTTGAGGGGAGTCATATAGTGAAATTATTCATTCTGCAATCAAGTAACAGAGGCACAGAGCAGGAATCACAGATGCATAGTATCAGTGAATAGAAATTGTATAAGTGATTCATAGAAATGAACACCAGTGATCTAACACCTGACCTTGGAAGAGAGATACATATAAATATAGTGTTTTTGAAATGAGCATTATAACTCATAGAGAACAGAGTTGAAGAAAAATTGGCAGCTGGACATTCAAATACTATACTGGATGTCATCTCTCACAGAAGATCACAGTTAGGAGGCCCATGGATTCCTGGTATCCCCTGTGGTGCCTTAGCAGCAATCAGTTCTCAATAATTTTGTTGAACGACAGCCAGTCGGGAATTTTGTTTACTACAAATTGCAGTTTATAGTATGTGAGAAATTAAAATATTTTTTAAAGCACACAGTGATATTAACATGCTGTACTGGTGTAATAGAGACTCCACTGTAAATATCAGGAGGTGAAGTCTGTCAGCTGCCTTAAGATTAGTTTGTCTCAGTCCAGAAGGAGCAGGACTATTCCATGAGGTTACCCATTACCCTGGGAGCAAGATCTCCGCAGCCCCCACTTGATGTCTCAGCATGGACCTGTCTGGAATTGATGGAATGTTATAGTCAGGAATCTGTCTTCTCAATAAAACATGGTTCTTAGAATAGTGACTATTAGAACAGATCTTAAGTTTGAGATAGTCTTACCTGCTAAAAATACTAGTTTCATAGGTTATAAATTATTTTATTCCCCATGGTTTTCCTGGACTACACCTTGTTACAAGATTTGGAGCATTCCTGTGTATAAATTCAGCTATCACAGGAGAAAGCTCAGTGCCTGCTGATACTTTTGTACATTTTTGTAGTTTGACTTGATTCTTTTTTGCAAGTAATTTCTTTCTTGGGCATATTAGTATGGTCAGTGGAACCTTAGTAGTTTTGGTGGTGCTATAAATCCTTTATAGGAAGGCTTTCAGCGTGTTTCAGAGGCTTATGTCTCAAAAGACTTCATCTGATCCCTTCCCTCCTGAATGCATTTCTTAATACCATGGGAAGTGACATCATTTAATGCAAGAGAACTGTTTTTGCTTTCTGTGTATAGAGATTTTTATAATGTAAATATTTTAAAGAAAATTTTGTGAATACTGTTCTAGGAGCCTCTAGGTAATTAACAAGTCTTAAACTTACGTTTGTTTGCAGTGTTTCTTTTGATCGGGTATCAGACATCAACTTCACTCTCAACACAAATGAAAGCGTAAGTATAAATATTTTCTGTCATGAATAACATGGCATATAGGTGGAGTTGGCGTCTATGAAGGTCCAGGTTTAGTTGCCTTGGTCTCTGGGCGCCCACATCTTAGCTGACATTTCACGTGTTACCCATCCCTAATGCCTACCTTGCAGCTATGGGCATGAGTTTGCAACCCTGACTTAAATGTGACTGGGCTGATAACACCAAGGTCACTGGCGATGGCAGCATAGACCTTCAGCTCTAAGGGGAAGACTGCAGGTTGTCTCTCGTCTGTTTCCGGGGTCAGAGCCAGCCTCTCACTATCATGCTGCTCTGAAACACTGAGACCGTCACAGTATTTGAATAGGTACAGTCTTGAATTTAGTTTTGTTAAGCACGAGAGACCACTGGTTTATTTGCTGATTGGATGTTATAGAAACAACTGAATGGGGCCGCGCAGCTCATTGCTGTTCAGCTAAACAGGTGAAATCAGAGAGAACACAGCTTTCTTTTCTTTGTTGACCAGATCTGGGATTGCATCTCCAGGACAGAGCAAGTTCTTGGTCTCATACCGTGGTTCTTACTAGGTGATGTAAGCTAGTGAGGGGAGGGTTGTGTAGGCCTCCTGTGTGCTGGTTTTGAACCTAGTCTTTTAGAGGACCTTCTCATTACATACACAGAAGCTAATGTTAGATGCATACATTTTATTTTGGTATGATAGCTACTGGGTTTTTTTCAAGCAATAGAAAAATTAATTTGTTTTGGTAACTTTGGGGAGAAAATAGCTTAAATTTGTTTTGTTTCCCTCATTCTTGTTTTAATTTAGGGAAATATCGCCTTGTTTGAAGCATGTTGTAAGGAAAGAATACAACAGTTTGATGATGGTGGTTCCGATGAGGAGGATATCTGGGAGGAAAAGCACATTGCATTTACACCAGAATCCCAAAGAAGATCCAGGTGAAAGACAGTTCATTACTCTCAAAATTGTACATAGCAGATGTTATGATGAGACACATAATATATCCTCACCAAACATAGGTTTAACCTAGAGATAAGTGTTTTTATCAAGGTCAGAGGAAATGTCGTGCTGAAATAAATGGTGGGCCAGTTCTCTGGTCTGCAGTGCCCCAGCCACGGCAAGCTGTTTAAACGTGCTGCAGATGTGTATCCATTGTTGTGGCCCAGAAACTGCATGGGGGAAAAGATGCTCTTGTGCCATGTCCTTAACTGGATTAATGTTCCCTTAAGTGTGGTAACAGTAGCCCACTTATGAATTGCCTCAAATTCTTTCTAAAGTTTATCTTATTTTATTTTATTTTGGTACCAGGGATTGAACTCATGACCTTGTGCTTGCCAGGCAAGTGCTTTTGTTGCTGAGCTAAATCTCTGGCCCAGAGAATTCACTTCTGGTTCCTGGAATGAGAGTGAGGTTCTTTTTTTCTGTCTGCCTACCTGCCTGCAGTTTCCTCTTTCTCTCTTTTGTTCTTGCTCTCTTTCTTTCTCTCTCTTGCTTGCTTTCTCTCTCTCTCTCTCTTTCTTTCTTTCGTCTTTTTGAGGCAGGGTCTCTCTATGCAGTTTAGTCTGGCCTTGAACTCACTCTGTAGCCCAGCTGGTCTCAAAACTCATGATGATCCTCCTGCCTTAGCTTCCTGAGTGCTAGGGTTATAGGCGTGAGCCACTGTGCCCAGCTTAATCTAATTTTAAATGATGGGGATCTTGTCAGTTCACATCATCTGGGTCAACCCTGAACCTTTTCTTAAATCACTTTTTAAAATTTCTTTTTTAAATATATACTAGTACATGTTTACAGTACATAGTAATTAGATTCAAATTGTGGAGAATATATACATTATGCGTCTTAATTCTTTTTACTTTTTCATTTTTTTAAATAGAAAGTTATTTTATTTATTTACTTATGTATTTATTTTAGTACCAGGGATGAAACAGTGCTTATGCCACTGAGCTAAATCCTTGCCCCTACTTATTCATTTTTAAGTCATTCACAACCCTCTTTCGCTTCAAGAGTTCTTGTTATATGAATATTCAATATTGGAATCTTCATAGTTCAGAGAGAATGATGACTAGTTGAATTTTCATTTTTATTTTAAATGAAGTTTTTACATGGCATAAAATCCAAAGAGAACAAGAAGGGTGTAAATGAAAGGTAAAATCCTTCCTATCTGTGAAGCATCCTGTTCCTCTTGCTGGGTGGCCTATCAGGGTTGCCTGTTCTCTCAGTGTGATGATAGTTAAGTTGTTCTCTTAAGAATGCTCTTGCCACAGGTTACTAAAAACTTGGCAGTGGCTTCAACAAAAAACGGTGTATTTTTTTTTATGACAGTTTAATAGTTTATTCCTACTCTTTCATCTACATGACAAGTTAGCCCCGCATGTGGATGGCAAGATAGCTGCTGCAGCTCCTGAGGCCAGACAGCCAGAGCCAGATATCTTAATCTTCATGGTTACTTGTTAAAGACAAAGATCAGTCAGATCTGTTTGTCACCATTTACTATAAGATTTTGTTCTCATAGTGTGTGGATTCACTAAAGAGCCATTGTGTATTGCTGTTTCTCCTCTGGAGGCAAACTGGCCTCAGTGTTCTAACAGCGATACAGTACATTCTTCAGGAGCAGCATGTGTAGAGAACACAGAGGATCAAGTGTGGAAGGGGTTCCTAGGGGTGATGGCACTCAATATCAAAAAGAACACAAGATGATGAAATTTTTTTGTTTCTGTAACAATTCTCCTGAGGTATAATAGACATATAATAAACTATTTAAAAAGTTATACAGGGTGGTAAGTTTCAACATGTAGTCCATGAAACTCATCCTAATAAAGACCACAGACTAACTCTTCAGCCCCAAAAGTTGTCCCATGTCCGTTTGTAAAGCCTTAACCCTTTCCTGTCCTCTCCTACATTTTCTTCATTTATATAAGTTCGTGGTTTCTAGAGTTACAAAAATGAAATTATGTTTGTTATGTACTTTTAATGTTTATTCCATATAATTACTTTGAGAACCAGATGTATTACTAGCTCATTCCTTTTAATTGCTGAGTAATAAGTATTGTGTATTTATTTTCCTGTTACTGGACATTTGGATTGTTTCTAGGTTTGGCTGTGAATCACTAGAAGATAGGCTATGACAAAACCTAAAGCAGTCACTAAAACAACAACGCTGGGAGCTAATGTTAACAAACCAAAAAGGAAGTAAAATCAAATCATAAAAATGCCAGAAGAAGACAGAAAAACACAACAAAGGGCAACTGGGGAAAAGTGTACTAACAGCAAGATAATAGTACTAATCCTAAATAACTATAAAATAAACAGTCCACTACCCTCTTTCAAAGGCAGATGGGCTGACTGGGCCGTAGCTCAGGGGTAAGAACACTTGGGGAAGCTCCTGGGTTCAACATACACTCAAGTGTGAGCAGATGGGTGGGTGGGTAGATGGATGAATGAACAGACAGAAGGGAGGAATGCAGAATGGCAGAGATTGCCCTATTGGAAAAACACATACAACTTCATACATATACATAAATGTATGAAACATTTAAAAGAATGAACGAAAATGTTAAAAGTGCAGAAAACACTGATTTTTAAAAACTAGAATTTAAGTTTAAAAGTTTAAAAACTTAAGAACAAAAAGAACAGTCATACAATAAAAGGTTAATTCATTCAGAGGACATAGCTTTTTTTTTTTTTTTTTTTGGGTATCAGGGATTAAACTCATGACCTTGCACTTGCCAGGCAGGCTCTTATGCCACTGAGCTAAATCCCTGGCCAGACATAGCTATCTTAAATACCTACACCTAATGACAGCTTCAATGGAGCAGAAACTAGTACACTTGCGAGAGATGTGGAGAGTCCACAGTTATGGGCAAATAGTTGTCTCTGTCAGTAACTGGTGAAATAGGCAAGCATCATAATGCTATAGAATACTTGAGCAGCACTATCCACTGGGTTTCTCCTACATTTATAAAACACTGCACCCAACAACAGCAGAAGACACTTTAAGTTTATAAAGCTCATAAAGTGAATCTCAATAAATTCTATAGGGTTCAAGCCATTTTCTAATGAAGATGGAATGAAATTAGAATCTGTAGCAGGGTCAGGGGTTTAGCTTAGTGGCATAAGTGCCTGCCTGGCAAACGTGAGGTCATGAGTACGAGCCTTGGTACGGGGTGGGGAAGGAGAGTGTAGGGCTAGAATTAGTAGCAGCAAGATCTTTGGGAAATCTCCAAATGTTTCTCAGTTTGAGTAAACACATGAGTCAGAAAAAGAGATCAAAGAAGCACAAATTCACAATACATATTTCAAATTGAAAGAAAATGAAAACATTATATCTAAAAATTTGGGAAATAATACTTACAGAATTCTTTTTAGCACTAACTGAATATATTAAAAAGGCAGAAAACCAGTAGCCTTAGTGTGTACTTCAAAAAAACTAAAAAAACCTAGGTGTTGTGGCACACACCTATAATCCCAGCATTTCTGAGGCTGAGGTCAGAAGATTGCCAGGAGTTCGAAGGCAGCATAATGGGCTACATAATATGTTCAAGGCCAGCTTGAATAACAAGCAGAATTAAAGAGCAGATTAAACTTAAGCAGAAATAAGTAATTCAAAGAGTCTAGTAGAATTCAGTGAAATACAAAATAGAAAAGCAGAAGAGGAAATTAAATCCAGACATTGTTCTTTGAGAAGATCAGTAAGAATGTTAAATTTCTAGCTAAAAATGATCAGGAAAAAGTAGATACAGATGATTGTCTTCAAGATTGAGAGATGATACCATTATAGATTCTGGACATCAGATTTAACAGGCTAGACGAACTTATGAACAACTCTATGCCAATTAACCTGACAACATAAATGATCTTCAAAAGACAAAACTACAAAAATGCACACAAGAGAAAGATAACCTGAATAGTCTTAAATCTAGTGAAAAAGTTGAGTTTCTAGTTTAGAACTTCCTATCACATACAAACATAGACATACACTAAAAATCTCAAGCCAGATGTGACACATGCCTATAATCCCAGCACTTGGGAAGCTGAGGCAGGAGGATCACTGCAAGTTTGAGGTCAGCCCAGGCTACATAGCACAACCCTGTCTCAAAAAAAATAAAAGTAAAAATTTCAGGCCATAGCATTACTGATGAATTCTCTCAGGCATTTGTGAAGAAATGACACCAGTTTTATTATAAAGGCTTTGAGAAAATTGATGAAACAAATGTTACCCATGCATCTAATTGTATGAAACACAGGGTAGCTGGCTACCAAAACTTGATATTAGAAGAAAACTGGCAGACTCTCTTGATGTTTAAGCAGGTCAAATACAGTAATATGTCATGACCAAGACTTAAGAGGACAGAATTGCTTTAACTTAAGATCTGTCAATGAAGGGCTGCGGATTTAGCTAAGCAGCATAAGTGCCTGCCTGACAAGTGCAAGGTCAATCCCCAGTACCGCCCAAAAACAAAAAAAAAAGGATCTGTCAATGAGTATGTGACCAAATCCAGTGTCCATTTGTAATAGAAATTTAGCAAACTAGAAATGGAAGGAAATTTCTTCAACCCAATTAAGGTATGTATAAAAATTACAGTTACTATCATACTTAATAGTAAAAATTCTTAAGATCAGAAACAAGGCAAGGATGTCTTTTCATATAGTCTCTTTTAAGTATGGTACTGGATTTTTAACTAATGCAATAAGTAAAGAAAAGACAACTAGATTATAAGTAGAACTAGTCTCTGACACAACCATTGGTATAGGAAATTTGCTAAAATATGCAAAGAGACTAGTTAGAGATACATTTAGCAATGTTGTACAGTATAAAATCCACGATTGTCTTTCTGCCTACTGAAACTAACAATTGGGATGGAAATTACTGAACACTTAACAAAAGCATCGAAAATGCTAAGGATATCAGGGTAAATTTTACAAAAAAGGTACAAGACCGGTACACTGAAGTCCATAAAATAGAAGTTGTAGCTTGCAGTATTGATTTTCTAGAGAAACTACAAATGTGACAAATGTTTCTGGGTTGGAAGACGATATCAATAAAATGCCAGTTCTCCTAGACCGATCTCTAGAGTTGGCGTAGCCCCCAATACAATTTTAAAAGAGGCTTTTTGGGTAGCTATTAACACTTTGTAACTAAGTTCACATGAAAATATAAAGGACCTAGAACAATCAAAGTGATTTTTCATAAAGAACAATGGACTTGGAGGACTAATGTTGCTTGAATAAAGATATACAGTAAATTGAGACAACATAAACAGTGGATCAGTGGGACAGAATAGAGAACCGAAGAATAGGCTGACTGCTGTGAACTGATTTTTAGTAGAGATTTAAAGTTGATTAAATGGAGAAAGAATAGTCTATTTCAACACGTGGTGAAAATCTGATAAAAACGTGTTCATAAATGAAATTTCTACCTGTTTTTTTTTAAAGCCCCATTTCTAAAATATTAGAATGTGAGAAGGTAATTAAGATACAAGATAACAAAATAAGTGCACAAAAAGATCACTGGCATCTTTGGCTGTTAGGGAAATGTAGCTTTCTAGATGGTGGCTTCGGGCAGAGCCCAGGCAAGGGCATCATTGCTGGTTTCACAGGTTTGACAGCACGTACCAAAGTCTTCCTGAGTCCTGACCGCACTACATCGTAACGGTGTGATCCAGTGGAAGCACATTATGATTTATGTTTGGGGTGAATTTTAAGCTTTTCTGAATTTAGCTGTAGGTAGTAAACAGCATCAAATATCTCAGTCTCTTTTTTTCATAGCTCGGGAAGTACAGACAGCGAAGAAAGTACAGATTCTGAAGAAGAAGATGGAACAAAACAAGACTTGTTTGAATCTAGTAGTGCCAACACGGAAGATAAGATGGAGGTAGACCTTAATGAACGTAAGTTGCAAATTAATTGTAAGATGTTAAAAGTTGAGCATTCTGAAAAATAAGCAGAACACTAACATCTAAGGTGGCTCCTGAAGGAATAGTTGAAATTAAACACACATTGTAGTGCAAGTCCTTGGCAGATTTGAGTTTTTGGATTAGGCTCAGGGAAGGAGTAAGTTAGGCTTTCATGTTAAATAAGAACATCATTGGTGTCAGTTTGGCTAGAGAACATGGCCCACTAGGGTTACCCATTCTGGCTCCAGATAACAGTGCTGTAGCAGAAAGAGACAGACCAGATGCAAAAATGAGAAATTATTTATGTTTTATGGACTCATGAATGGAACAAACCAGAGGAAGTAACTTAAAACATAAGCAGTTTTTAAATGTATTCTTCTTAATTTACTTAAGGAATTTATAACCCTAAAATTTGTTCAGGTAAGAGCTTGTTGCTTGCAAAAAACACTTATCTTCACTGATTCTTTAAAAAATGCTGCGGAGTCTGAAGTCTTGGGAAAGCCATTATCGGTTGTTAGGGGACTTTTTCCAAGCCTGACCTCCTGACCCTAGGAAGCTCTTTATGTCCTTAATCTCTAGAGAGGACCTCAGCAGTCATCTGTACAACCAACACCACCACCCTACTCTCATGGTAGGTAAGAAATCTGGGCCTAAGAAGAAAAAAGAACCACTATCTTTCCCTCCGCAGTGCAGTTCAAGTCAGTGTACCTTTGTCTAGTTCTTTCTGTATGCCGCGTGTCAGGCATGTGACTGGAAACAGTCACAGGCTACACCTGCAGGTCTCAAGGCCTGCTGGGGAAATATGGAGGTTGGCAGTGCCAGGTTCTGAGAGAGAGCACTGGAGGAGCTGGAGTGTAGTGCTGCCTGACCATGTAGCATTCTCTGATGGTGTAGTGCTCAAAGACAGCTGAAGACTAGTCAGTTTGACAGAGAAAACAAATGATGAATAGGCACGGAGAACCACAGCCTGTGTACGGTGTCTCAGGAATTGGCCGGGATGATGTTGGGAGGGGAATAAAGCCAGGTGACAGGTCTAGACTTGGATTCTGAAGGTTATAGGGAGGCTCTGAGGGCCGTTTGACAGGCTCTTGGCAACAGTGAGAACTGGACTACGGTATCCCTGCTGAAGACAGGAAAACTTGACTGTTAACAAAGAAATACAAGGGCCAAAAGGATAGTTTCTGGCAGCAGGGAGACAGGAGCAGAACACGGCAACTGGGCCTTCGTTTTTGGCTCTAGAATCTGTGGGGCTGTTTTTTCCTTTAGGTTCAATTCAACAGATTATGTGTTTTCACACTGTGCAACAGATAGCTAGATGGATTTCTCATCTAGCCAAACTGAAACTCAGTACCCACTGAACAGCTAACTCCCTATTGCCCCCTGCCTTGGTGTTCACCATGGCCCCTGGTGTTCACCATCCTACCAAAGCTATGAAGTTGACTAAGTACCTCATGTAAGTGGAATTGTACACATTTGTGACTGGCGTATTTCACTTAGTACAGTATCGTTCAGGTTCATTCATGTTGTAGCATGTATTGGATTTCTTCCTTTTTTAGGAATGAAGAATATTTCAAAACTCTGGTACTTTGAGGGGGCTGAGTGTATGATAAATGTGTTTGGAGGGGACACCCCAAGAAGTTCATTAGGACATTGCATAGCACTGCTGCTGGGACTCTGGAAGTGCCATTAGGGAGAGAGGAAAGGAAGGCCCTGAGTGACAGTTACTGTTATCCTGCTTTTCTGCTGCTTGAGAAAAGCTTATTTTCATTCTCAGATCTCTAAGGCATAGGGATGGGGTGACTGGGAGAAAAGCTGCTACATCCTCATCACCTGGCGTCTTTCATGTTTCTGAGGACTGATTACAGCAGTTTCTCATGTTACACTGACTAGGGCACCATCTAGGAAGAGTTGTACACAGGGTAATAGCAGTGGCGAAGTCCTGTTTGTGTCATCTGAGTGAATTGTTAGGTGTAACTCTGATTCCAGAACTTTGCATGTGGTGAGCAGACACAGGTGCCTGCCAGGTTGACTTTTGACAGATTTCAGGTGGAAATGTTCAACCTTTTTTGCTGTCAGTGGAGCTCTGCGTCACAACACATTAAAGCAGAAGATGCACAGAGCAAATCCTCAGTGAGAGGCCTTAGCTAGGTAGACAGTCAGGATCTGAATTGAACAGATGGAGGAGTTTGAGGAAGCTCAAAGTTACGGTAAGGTTAGTGTCTGAAATTAGAATCTTTCTGCTGGGCACAGGTACTTTTATGCCTAGGGTAAACCTCCTAGTAGTTAGCAGTTCCCTAGTCTCCCTTTTTTATGGCCAGAGATTCCTGATGGACGTAGAAAATACCTGGCAGAAAGCACTGGCTCCCACCAGCTTTGAGGATTTGCATAATGTCAAGGAAAACATTGTATGCGAGCAGAGCAGAAACCTGATTGCACTGAAGGGGCACATTTGGAGGAGGGGACATTTTCCAGAGAGCTGTCAAGTCTTATACCCATACTTCGCCCATAAGGAGCAGAGGCACAAGGAGTTCAGCCCAGCAGTCTTGCCTCTCACATCCCCAAGCACAAGACAAGACAGCCTGAGCAGCTGCAGTTGACACCAGGGAGCAGTGGGGAGAAGCAGTGTAGCCAGCTCTTGATTGGGAACCATCCAGAGTGTTTATAGTTGTTGCCATATATTCTTTTTATATAAGCTTTTATTTTGGAATAATTTAGACTCTCAGAAAAGTTTCAGAGGTACTATAAGAAGTTTATAGCTGAATATAATGGCAAATACCTGTAATCCCAGCACTGTGGGAGGCTAAAAAAGAATGGCAAATTCAAGCCCCACCTGAGCAGTGTAATGACTTTGAGAGACTTTGTCTCAAAATAAAAAAAGACTGGAATATAGCTCAGTGTAAAAGCCGTGCTTCAATCCCTAGTACTGCAAAAAAAAGAAAAAGTTAGCATATGTATATACCCTTCAATTGACTTCCCCCAATGCTGCTATAACCTTGGAACATTTGTCAGAAATTAGAAATTAGCATTAACACATTGTTTTGTTTTGTTTCATTTTATTTTTAAGTCAAAGTCTCACTTTGTAGTTCAGGCTGACCCTGAACACTGTGTAGTCTAAATGGGCCTTGAACTCTTGGCAGTTCTTTTACCTGAGCTTGCAGAGTGAATCCTGAGAACTATAGGCATGCACCATCTTGTCCAGTGTAACACATCTTTTTTATTGTAGTTCTGTATTCTTGTATAGTATTTTTATTGGAAAAAATTCTTAGAATTGGAATTGCTGATGAAAGAAAATTCAGTTTTTAATGTCATATTGTTAATTGTCCTCCAGGTGATTGTCTGCTTCCTGTTGCTACCAGTAGTCCATTAGAAAAACCTTTTCTCCACAATTCCATTCTTTTTTTTTTAGGTCATTACTAATCTCTTTTTTAAAAAATAACTTTCTTGATTTTCTTTTTTTGTTTGTTTGTGAGATGCACTGTGACCATGCTGGCCCTGAACTCAACTCCTACGTCAAGCAATCTTCCTGCCTTAGCGTCCCAGAGTATAGGCACATGCCACCATGCTCAACATAAAAACTACCTTGTGTTACACACTAAATCACTGAAATGTTCCTTATGAAATTCCTCCCCTTTTTTTAGCACCCACTTGGTCAGCCAACTTTGACGTTCCAATGGAGACCACCCATGGCACTCCGCTAGACTCAGTGGGGTCTGATGTATGGAGCACAGAGGAGCCAATGCCGACTAAAGAGACGGGTTGGGCTTCTTTTTCAGAGTTTACATCATCTCTGAGGTGAGTGAGTGTGTGCGGTCCACACTTTCCAAAGGTAACTGGGAATGGTAGGTGTTAACTACCAATACTGGTTGTGTACCTTAGCTGTGGGTTGAATGTGGTGCCTTAAATCAGATGAAAAATCAAAATGGCGAGATACTGACACAGCTGTGCATAATATAGCAGAATAGGCACCATTTTCCTTTGCTCCAAGACAGTTGGGGAAAAGGACAGTTCGTAAACAGAGTAGCCTGGGAGGATTGATCCCAAGATGTTAGCAAGACACAGTACCAGGTGAGCTCAGCCATCAGCACAGGCTTGAGAACAGGCATGAGCTCCTGAAAGACACCTCTCTGTGGCAGGTTGCAGAGAAACACACAGTATATGTGAATTCACTAATTAATAGAAACTTTTCTTTCACTGATAACTAGTATTCTAAGAGTTGTGACACATATAACTGTCAGTCTTGTTACTTGTATTATTCTCTGCAACAGAGCTGTTACAATTTTTCTGAAGAGTATCAGCACTTCAGTATTGGATTTCATGTCTCAGTAGACCTACAGAACTTTGATATACTAAATATTTTATTTTGTCTACCAAAACAAGTTAATCTGTACCACCCTAGTTAGAAGGCTTTATTGCTTTCCCTGTCATAACGTGTAGTAATTTTTAAAAGTCACTAGGAGTACAGAAGACAGGAATACAAAACTTGGAAGCTGACAGTCACCATGTTAGACAGACTGACCTGAAACGCATGTTACTTGATAATAACTTGTAACAGCACTGAGCTCTTCAGAGGTACAAATTAGAGTTTTTAAAAATGTCTTCAAAACATTATCAAATATTTCATCAGCTCTGCTTCAGTACAAGACTGTCAGGTTTCCACCTCTTGCCTTTTTCTTTTTGTGATTAGAAGATAGGAGGTTACTTGAGAAATGTTATTGAGGCCAGTTGGTTCTCTTGAGCTGCACACGCACGTTTCTGGGTGCACTGGGGGTGTTAGCCATGGGAGTGGGGATAAAAGAGGAAATGGATCACCTCTCTTAGTCACATGGTGTTTCGTCTCACAATCTCAGTAGTGGGCAGCACTCAGGGCCAGTGCCTTCAGGCAGTTGGCTCAGGTAAGTCAGGATTTGGGTAGGACTAGTCCAGTAGACACAGTTACTACTCTGTGATGTAGATCTCTGCTTGCCAGATGCCGGATAATTGCAGAGAAGACAGGTGGGGCATTTGAACTTGGCCCGAATGCCCTGAGGTACCCAACCTATTGGCCCAGATTTAGAAGAGCTTTGCCATCCACCCTCATGTCTACTTCCAGGTTGCACATAGACCCCTGTGTCCATGGAATGTGTGACCAAGCTGCTCTTATACAGACAACTAATGTCTCCCAGCAAAAACTGGATTTATTTTCAAAGGGTTTTTATGAATAATGGGGCATTGTAGTCTATTTCCTACTGCTGACATCTAAATTTTCTCTTTTCTGAAGCACAAAAGATTCTTTAAGGAGTAATTCTCCAGTGGAAATGGAAACCAGCACTGAAGCGGTGGACCCACTGACTCCCAGTGTTGCTGCTTTGGCAGCACAGCCAGAGGGTGAGCCAGTATGGGCTGGCAGGGAGCAGGCTTAGGAAATCAGACCTCTCTCAGGCACAGGTGCTGAAAGGAGCCAGGGAACTGAGATGTTGGCTCTGATGTCCAGAGGGCACCTGGTGGGAGGGGAGGGGAGGGGAGGGGAGGGGAGGAGAAGATCCTTTCAGAGACAGTATACTGATTCTGAAAGAAGTAAAAAGTCCCAACGTATCATTCCTGTTAATATGTGCATCAGGAAACTGAGGCCCAGAAAGGAGGAATGCCTTTACCCACAGTACTCAGGTGGATAAAACCAGAACTAGACCTGTATATTCCAGACCTGCCCAGTTATCCTGTCCTCTGCTGAAGTACATGGATATTTATGGGCCTGTTTCAGACTATCAGATTGTTTTCTTCTCACCTTTATGAGATGAAATTCTCATGATTGTCTAAAATCTCAGTGAGTTGTCTTACTACTCAGAATAGTCACGTATGTTCCTTGCATTGGCCCTGGTGGATAGAGCTTTGGGTAGCTGGGGTGTGTGCTGGGAAATGGGTATCACAAGGGGTAGTGATGCCTCAGTTCACAAACTCCATTCATCCCATGATTCTGGAAAGATGGCCAGGTTCATGTTGGTTCAGAAAGATGGCTGTAATGATACTTGTTACCCAGTGCAGAGTTCACGAATAAGTAAAATCAACAGACTGTCTTGCTCTTGCCTTCTTTTAAGTAATAAATGTGATGTGGGTGGAGTGGGCTGCACAGCAGTAGATGCCAGTTCCTCCTTGAATTTGGTGTGTGTAACCATCGGCTGCGTGCTCTTTCAGCGCCAGGCAGTGTGGCCATGGAAGCCAGCTCCGATGGAGAGGAGGATGCGGAAAGTACAGACAAGGTAACTGAGACAGTGATGAATGGCGGCGTGAAGGAAACACTCAGCCTCACTGTAGATGCCAAGACAGAGACTGCCGTCTTCAAAAGGTAACCAGGGATAGCTCTTCCTGCATCCTCAGGCAGTCGGGATCATGGTGGGGAGACACTTCAAATATGAAAAATTGTAGCTTGATTGAAATGGGTATTGAGACACTCACTCAACATCTCACATTGTCATGAATGCAGTAAATCTTATTAAGAGGTGGAGAGTTTAGGTCCCAAAAGTGTGTTTTTCTCATATGCTTATATGTGTTCAAAAGACTTTATTTTCAGTCTAGCCAGTTGACAGAATGATGAAAATAGACACACCTTTACTCATAGTAAAAATGGACTTGTATCAAGAACCATCAAAATCGGGGCTGGAGGTTTAGCTCAGCGGCATAAGCGCCTGCCTTGCAAGCAGGCAGTCATGAGTTTGATCCCCGGTACCGATAAAAAGGAAAAAGACCAAAAAAAGAAAAGAACCATCAAAATCAAAGGCCTACTATCACACACATGCATCATTATTGCCAGACAGTTGTTATTGTAATTCAGTAGCAAAATGATAGCTTTAAGAAGAAAACCAAATGTGTATTTGGAAATTAGCAACCGCATGGATCAAAAAGGGATCATAAGAGGAATCTGAAAGTTAAAATTGAGGAAGCAGTGAAAAAATTTCTAACAAAACGTATAGACTAAAGTAAACCAGTGCTTAGAGATTTAGTCTTCTTCTGTTACAGAGCCTTTCAGAGATCACAGATGGAATACTTCCCATGCTATGATAAGGTCCCCACAAATTTATGGGCTAAGATCATCTCTGGGTTTATATAAATAAACAGAAGTTTTCATTTAAGATCTAGCAAACCAACCCCAGCAGTGTAATTGGAAGTTAGGACCATGACTGGATACACTGATGTGACACTTAGTAATTATTCTTAATAGTGTAACATTAGAAGTGGTCCCTTCATAGACTCATCAGACAGTGAGACCTATTACTGTTTTTCTTCAGTACTGTGCTGTTGTCTTAGCGAACACTGCAAAAAGATGCAGAGATGGGAAATCATCATTGTGTATAGACTGATTTTTTTACGTAGAAAATTCCAGTTAAATCCATAAGCCAGTATTAGAATTAACAGGGAAATTTAGCAAGTTTATTGAATGCATAGAAAAATCACTTTGTCTTAAAAATCTCTGCAAGGTATTCTAAATGTCCCTGCTTGTTTTTTTTAATAAAAATGTTAAAACTTCTCTAGAATTTAAAACCTTATTGAACAACATAGTGAAGACCTAAATGTAAATGTGATTTGCCATGTTTATTAATGGACAGATTGCTTTGGCATATCTCTATAAAGTTACTGTATATTACTCTATAAGGTTAATAAAGTTCCTGTTAAAGCTGATCATAATATTTATGATCATTTTGAAGAAAAAGTAAGGGCTTCCCTATACTTAGCTGTCAAGACTGACTAGTAAGCTATTACCGTGAAGCTGATTTGGTCCAGCTAAGAGTTATGTCACATCCCTTCCACTGCGTGACCTTAGCACATGGTAAAATGAGGCACAATTCAGTGAGTAAACAGGGACTACTGAATGATTATCCATGTGGGAGAAAAATAACATTAGATCTCTTATTTGAAAATAAATATAATAGATCTAGTCACACAACTCTTAGAAAACAACGTAAGAGGAAATCTTTATTACTTGGCAGAGGAGGTATTTTTTAAGCCATTAAAAAGCCAAGTCAGTGGGAAATAAGTTCCTGATATTACAAAAGGAAAAGCAAGCCATAACCAACAAAGAATCAATAGCCAGGACATAAGAAAAACCTACTATCAATAAGAAAGAGATAGTTTTTTAAAGGTGGACTAAGGATGCAAACACAGAGCAAGTCAAATTAGAGTAACAGCCTTGTAAGTAAACAGGACCTGTCAGTAATTGTAGTGTTATGTTATGTACATTAGTCCATTAATTCCTGTCATAAGTTGTTGCAAAAAACAGAAAAAGTACAAAACCTGCCCAAATTGTTTTTGTCTTGGGGTGGATGAGTGGATGAGTGGGTGGGTGGGTGGGTTGGTTTTATCCCAGTACTGAGGATTGAGCTCAGGCCTTCACACTGAGCTATACCTCTAGCCCATTTTTTATTTTTTGTTTTGAGATAGGTTCCCAAGTCACCAAGTTTCCCAGGCTGGCTCTAGGTTTTTTTTTTTTTTTTAGTACAATGAAGTTTTCATTCCAAAACTAGGTAAGAATAATCGCAGTAAACAATCAACTAGCTAGGCATGGTGGTGTATTGTATAATCCCAGAACTCAGGTGGCTGAGACAGGAAAATCGCTCTGAGTTTAAGGCCAGCCTGGGCTACATACTGTGTTCAAGCCCAGCTTGAACTACTTAGTGAGTTCAAACCCAGCTTGAACTGCATAGCGCAACACTGTCTCAAAAAAAAGATCAGATTTATGTCACTAACAAGCAGAGTACCTGCAGAGGTCCATATAAGATATTTACTGACTAAATCCAAAATAATTTATGATTGCATTATAGTTGCACTTTTATCTTGGAATGCAAAAATTATTCAGTGTCAGTATAATCTCCAAATATTTGACTGGAAGAAAATTATTTTTTGATAAGTTTCCGTAATTCTGAATAATTAAAACTGAGCAAATCATTAAGAGAAGTGAATTTGTTTAACTAGGTAAAAGCTAAACACCGACATGGTACAGCAGGAATGATTCTTATTGAAGAAATTCTAGGGGCATTCATTTCTAGTTAGAGAAAGGCTGTCCATTATTTCTAAACTTCTATAAGAAGTTCTGGAAAGAAAAAGAAGTAGGAGTGCGGGTAATGATTAGAAGAGAAACAAAGAGACTCATTATTTGCAGATAGTAATGATCAGTTGCAACAAAGTCAGTAACAAACTTTGTAATTAATAAGACTTCAGCCAGTACTGTTGATTACTTTTAAAAATCAGTAACTTTTCTCTAATAGGCAATTAGAACATAAAATACAAAGCATAGTACCATTCTCAAAATACATTAGCTTGTAAGTTTAGGAGAGGAAAGGCATAGGTGACCTGGACAGATGGACAGTCCATGCTGGAATTTGACTGCTGCAAACATTTGCTGCCGTCAGCTTAGCCTCGATGTTTAATGGAATCCTAATAAAGCTTCAGTAGAATTTTTAGAGAAAACCTGATAAACATACTATGAAACTATGTGGGAAAAAGAGGTTCCCAAATTGATTTGATAACCAGAAGGGACAATTAAAGTAAGAATTGGAAGTCATAATCATTAAAACAGTGTGGTATTGATGTGCACACAGAGCAGGCTCATGTGTTGTAAAAGAAACATTAAAAGGGGCTGGCAATTTTGCTCAGCGGCATAAATGCTTGCCTGGTGAGCATGAAGTGGTGAGTTCAATCCCTGGTACCAAAAAAATAAAAAAGGGAAGGAGGCTCGGCTAAAAAAGTCAAGCCACATCCTTTCTCATCTGACTCCTAAAGCAAATCCAGGGGAACTAAGAAGACAGAGCAGACGTACATGATTCCTTCATGCGAGGCCCTATTCTCCAAACCTCTCGTGTATAGTAACTCATTTCTCTTGGGAACTGTATGAGATGAAACTGAGTGTCATCCCCACTTTCCAGGTTTGAAACTGGGACACCAGAGTTAAATGATGTGGCCAAAGTCTCATGGTATTAATAAAAGAAAATTAAATTATAATGCAAATGGCTGAATTCCATTAAAATGAACATTGGAGTTGTAAACTTCACAGACATGAATGGGCCTTGCCTTCCGGATGCTGTTATAGTCATGCTGTGTGTGCGTACTGTACAGTATAATATTGCACAGCCCAGGATGTTTGGGAGCAAGAGGAAAAGCAGCAGAGGGGACTGTGAGGAAGCACACAGCAATATACGTTATATGTCTCTATCAAAAGTGTGTAAGACTCACTTCATTGGACTTACAAAGAAATCTGACTTTTGATGGTTCTGGAATGGCACTCCTTTTAAGTCAGGAACTTACTGTGTAGGGAAGTTGAGAATTTGTTGCTGGTGTGGTACAGTGGTACCTCAGTTATTTGTTCCGTGATCTTGGAAGAGATAGCCACATTTGTGTTTGTGTGGGAAAGACGGCTACCATCGTCTTTGTCACTCGACGGACAGTTTCCAGACAAAAACAAAATTTTGCCAAGTGCTTCTGTTAACAAATTGTTGTTAACAAACAAAAGCATTAGTGAACACAGGCACCATTGTACTGCAGATAAATCTAAGAGGCAGATGGCAAATTGAGAGAAGAAATGTATGACACTGACATTGAATAAGGAATTCCAATAATAATAAAAATTAAAGCTAAATTAGAAAATAAGCAAAGAAGAACAGTTTACAAATAAACCAAAAAAGTCATTTTAAAAAATGAAGACATACTCAGCTCATTCATCATCAGAGGACTGTGAGTAATGATAACATACCCCCTGACTCTTCTTATTAGACTACCAAGTTAGAAAGGTGGCACATTTCACGTGGGCTCTTGGAACCTGCTGCCCACTGGTGGAAAGGCAGCCCAGACAGCCATTCCAGATAATTAGGGGGGTTCTTTGTCAGTAGAAGGATGGCCCAGAATTTTCCTCTATTGAGTACAGACCCCTTGAGAAATGCCAAGACCAGCTTGTTAGCCGTGGACAATGATAGTCATTGCAACATGGGAAGGAGGCCTGGAGACAGAGAACAGTTTGGATATTCAGTGCTGTGGGACACCTGGCAGGTGTACCGGCAAGTAACATGGACACAGTGCCACACTCAGGAGGAGAAGGTAAATACTCCAGATATGCAGGCTCAAGAGCCAAGAACACAGGCTTGTGACTCTCCTAGTTATGTGACTTGGAATGTACTAGGTAATGAGTGTACATTTTACCAGACTTACCGATGAACGTAGTAGAGCAGTTGATTTGAAGGGCAAGGAGTAGAAAAGGAGTGGAGGAATGAGTTTAAAAATCAGTCCCGGGAGTAGGAATGTGGCTTGGTACTGGAGCATGTGCTTACCTGAGACCCTGGGACCTCAAAAAAAGAGTTATTTTAGGTAATCACTAAATTATTAAATTTAATTTTAATTCTTCTAGTTAGAAATTGGAACTGTCTAGAAACCACTTGAGAAATTGTCGTAAAATTAGGTGGTTGTTTATAAGCAAATCCAGGAAAGGACTTGGCTTTAAGAATGTGGAACCTAGGGGCTGAGAATGTAGCTCAGCGGCATAAGTGCCTGCCTGGCATGCAGGCAATCGTGAGTTCAATCCCCGGTACGGATAAAAAGGAAAAAGACAAAAAAAAAAAAAGAGAATGTGGGACCTTCTCTAAGGGAGCCTTCATCTGCTGCCAAAGTTGATGACAAGTCTAAAATTTTAGTCCCGAGTAAGCAGAGTCTGCTGCTCTCTTTGCCTCAAGAGCCACTTGAAGGGCAAACTGTCCCTTGTGTCCCATTCTCTGCAGACCCCATACCCGTGAAATCAGTTCTCTCTTTCCTTCATGGTGTTCATGCTTTGCACCCACTGTGGTAGAGCAGCCTGAGAAGTGTTTTAAGTCTGGCTCAAACGACGGGTTCCCATCTTCTGCTGACCCAGTTTCCATCCATCAGTTGGAAGGGAATACAACCTCTGCAGCATTGTTAATGGTGGGCGTGGCCCAAGAGCGAGGCTTCCACTAAAGACTTGTTCCTTTAAACAGGTTCACTTGACACCTTCACCGACTCTGCAGTTTTGCTTATGTGCAGTCATGGACATGTTTCCCCCCCAATTCCTCATTTCTAGGAGTATTCTGAAACTCTTGTACATTTCTTTTTCTGTTTTGCACACTTGGCCTCAGAGTGTTGAAATCCTACCGGTATGTACGGTAATGCAAGACCATTCTTTATCAGACACCAGCTACATTACCTCATCCCTCTTTCAGTTCCCATCTGTGTGGCTTTTTCCTTTCGTGGTTCCCCAGTCACTGTCTATGTCCCTGTGATCCTTCTGCCCTGAGCATGCTCAGCCCCAGGGCTTGCGTCCATGGTAGCCATGACTTCAGAGCCATTTGCATGTGACCTCATCCTCTGACACCCAGATGTGATACCTGGGGTATGTGACATGCCTGTCATCTTCTCTCTTGCAGTGAGGAAGGAAAACTGTCTACCTCTCAAGATGCTGCTTGTAAAGAAGTAGAAGAGAGCCCTGAGCCAGCAGAGGCAAAGTCCATGACCCCCCGGACCCCTAGCAGTAGTCCAGAGCAGAGGTAACTGCCCTGCCCTTACATCCTTCCTGGGCCCTGCTCTGGCTTTGCCTGTGGTTTCCTGGGACTTGATGGTAGTGGGGTTGGGGGTGGGGGTGCCACCTGGGAGTGGGGGCCTAGAGTTTGCTTACAGCTATGCCCAAGCCTTTAGCTATGCATTTGACACAGTGCCATTTTCTGAGTCCTTCAAATAATCAGAAGTCTCAGCTCAGATCTTCACAATATCACTGTCTCCTTATCCTGGAAGCCGGGAAGGGACTGGCTGGGTCCCAAGATCGGATATAATTCTTGGCTCTTTTAAGAGCTTGTGAGGAGGGGGAGTGAGTCTTACTCAAACCCACCTGCCCTTTCTTGTGAGGCCCTAAGTTTAGAAACTTTGAGCCTCTCCAGGAGTGGAATCCTTCATGGCCCCTGTAAAGTCTCTCAGATACCAGACACAAGCAGATCTTGATGCCTTTATCCCCATAATCATGCCCACAAGAGATGCAGGGAATTTGGCTGAATCACTTTCATATATTAGGCCAAATAGGCCTTAAATGAGATCTTGTGTGCTTGATCTTACTTTAAGTATGAAAATCCCACTGATACAGCCATGTGATTGGAATGTGGTCTTTTCTTTCTAGGCGCCTTTTGGTTAGACAGAGCCAGTAGTCTGAAGGGACAGGCCAACCCAAAGCCCCAACCACGGAGCACTGGTGCCCTGGCCAATGCACATGGCCTTGCAGGTAGAGCCAAAGCTCCCACCAAAAGCTAAATGAGGAACTTTGTTTGACACCTCCTCAAGTTAACATTTTTGATACCTGAGATTGTACATTCCTTGTGTAGGGAATGAAGTGACCTTACCGCAGTTCTGGAGAAGTTGTGCTTTCCCCCTGGTCAGACTGCCCCTAGTCTTCTGGTAGAGAACACGGGAACCAGCAGGGGGCCCTCTCCATTAGCTTACTGAAGACCTGTATTCATGGCTTAGCAAGCCCAGTTTTTTGTTCCTTTCATAGAAATTCTAGCCAGAATAAAAAGGTTTTGTGATTTTTAAAAACATTATATTAATAATTACTGTATGAGTATGTGAAGAGAAGGCAAGGTGTTCCTCTGACATGGAGGAATCAGGCCCAGGTGCTTCAAAGAGCTGAGGAACTCTCTCATCCGGGTTTTTCAAGGCATGCTTTTAAGATGATCCTTTGAGCTGGTGGCACACACTGTTAATCTTAGCACTTGAGAGGCAGAGGCATGAGGATCACCATGAGTTTGAGGCCAGCTTGTAGCACATAGGGAGACACTGTCTTAAAAGGTGATTCTCTGTAGATGTAGTTCCCAGTTATGTCGTCTCCCCAATTTCTGCCTGTCCAGTTTCTTTATATTGAGGGCTGCCTACAAGGAAGAATAATCCAAGTCTTTCCCAGTTTGCAGTAGTGGCTTCTGGAGTTTTTTTCTAGTTACCCGTAAATGTTACAGGAGACTGGAGACCTTAGACAAACGTGTGTGTGATATGAAGAACTCCACCCTTCATGGACTGAGGTGGTGGAGGTAGCGTTGGGGTGAGACATGGAAGAAGAAGGGTACCATTTGCCTCTCTGCATTCCGCCACCCAGCCTTCCTTTATCCAGCATACACTAGAATGGCCATCATTGGTGACTGGTACCAAAGCAGCAGCAGATGGACCACTCATAACCTAGGGGCACACGTTGGGAGGAAGCTGTAAAGCTAGAACAGGAATGGGATACACGAGTCCGTGTCAGGTAGAGTGGGGAGGTCTCCAGTTGGCATCAAGCTGGAACTGTGCACAAGTAAGGAAGAGACCCAACACCTCACAGTTGAGCGGTACTGTGGCAGTGTGAAGACTGAAGATCCTAGCTTCACCAAGTGCTTTCTGGCCACAGCCTGATACTGCTATTGTCCTTTAGAAGCCAGGAATGCTCCCTTCTCTGAGCTTGCAGGTGCACGTTACCCCAGATCTTGCTTCACTGCTGTTGATGAAACCTGCTCTGTGTCAGCCAGCATTTTAGATGTGTCCTGTATATCCAGCCTGTGGGGTGGGTCATTAGTGTCCCCCTTTTACAGGGGTGAAAAGCAGACTGAGAATGGTTAAGAAATTTACATAAGAGCACAGAGCTGGAATAGGTAAAGGCAGGATGTGTATGCTGGGCTCCGGAACACCATTCCCATGTCTCTGGTGCACTGAGACATCATCACATGTAAGTAGAGTGTAGTATGTGAAGCCGACTTCTGGTTCTCTGCTATAACTTGAAGGTCTCAGGAACTGGAAATGTCCTTGTTACAAAGTTTAGAATGCTAAGTAAAAAGTACTTGTGCTGGGTCTGGTGGTGTAACATCTGGATACTCTCGAAGGTTGAGGCAGGAAAATGGCAAGTTTCAGCCTCTTCTGGGCAACTTTGTGACTTAGTGAGACCCTGTCCCTAACTAAAAAATAAAGAATAGCTGAGAGTATAACTCAGAGCAAAGGCTCTGGGTTCAGTCCCCAGTATTGACAAAAGTAAAAAGTAATTTTGTTCTTCCGACCTATAGCTCTGAGCTTGCTTTTCTGCTTTATAAAACTTTGCTTGAAAGCTCTATGAGTATCAACACAGATGATAATTTTGGCAGAAACACAGCACTTAGTTGCTGGTATACTGTTCCACCTTTCTTTTCCTTCCAGTTTTTTGCCTGGCATTTACTTTGTAGGAGCATATTGTTCACATAGACTTTGCAACAGTTTGTCATATTTACAAAAAAAGTTTCCTTTTATTTTCCTTTCCCAATAACCCCTACTTTTTGAGAAAAATTCTGTGTGACAGAACAACTTCTTGAAGGAGGGATGAGCACGTAGCTCCTACAGGCTTGGGAACAACAGTGCAAAAGCCACTGACCTCTCAGATGGTCTTGGTGCTTCTGGGAGGGTAACTTCTGCTGGGCGTCGCCACTCTGCAGCCCTTGCTAACAAGTACTCCCTGCTCGTGGGGCCGAGCGAAGTTCGCTCTCTTCCTCCAGTTTCTACCTCCAGTGCTTCAAGTCCCTGTCTGTTACCCCTAGGACTGACCAGCCAAGTGTGCCAGGCGACACGTCAGTTAATGGCCCTGTATGATGAGTGATGTCTGCTGCTGCTGACTGAAGACTGCAGACCACCACCACCCAGGGCTCCAGAGGGCCATCTGGAGCCACCAAGCTATCACTGCTGCACTCACTCTGCAAGGGATCAGGACCAGCAACCTTTATATTCTAGATTCTAAGACATTGTACAGAGAAATTCAGAAGTGTAAAAATATTGCACATTGACAAATACCAAGAATTTTTGCGTATGTTTATATTGTATTGTTCTAAATAATGGGTAGCCTGTGAAATAAGATCTTGCCACCCATGTGATGATAGTAGTAATACTATAGGTAAAATGGCTGTAAGAATAGTTTTATAAAAGTGAATACACAGATCTATTGTATTTGAAACATAACTATTTGACAATTATTAGTGTGACCAAAGTATTAGGCAGTTTTCATACATTTTTCACCTTGTACAAAATTCTGAATTCATTTTTCTTCCAGGTTGGCAAGGAGTTGTAGAATTGAAATGCCCTCTAAGTGTTATTTTGGTTGTTCTAACTTACAAAAGTGATTTTGAATAAGAAATATTTGGTGTTCTTTTTATAACCAGTTTTTGATTGGTAATTGTTTTCTGTATTGTTTAAAACGAATCAAAATGTAAGTCTATTGGTAGAGATTAAGTATTTATTGCTACAACTTAGTTGATAAATTGATGTTAATGTAAAGCCATATGTTCTGTTAAAGTCTTGTTTGCTTGAAATGATCTTCCTACAGGTGAAACACTAGAATATTTGGAGTGTACATGACTGTGGTTTGGGGTTTTTTGGGGGGTTCTGTTTTTGTTTTTTGTTTTGTTTTGATAGTTCATCTGCCTTTTAACCCATTCACCAAAATTTACCTTGTTAACAAGCATCACCAATGACCATTTCAAAGCAGTCTGCATATTTAACATACTTAAGTCATATTAGGCAAGTCAATTGAAAAATGCTCGTGCTGCTAATGGAATTAGAGTACGTTCATTTTACAGGCTAGTATTTTAAAAGTAGAAATCAAAATCTGGCACCTAAGCATGTTACTTGTTTTACTGTACCTTGTGAGATTTTCACTCGTAAATTCTAAACCAGTATATCTTTTTTAGAACTGGTTTGTGTATATATATAGTGATTATGGATACTAATTCAATGTAATTTATAATTTTCTATGTCAATATAAAAAATACATCACAGCCTTCTCCAACAGCTGAAGCAATATATTGTATATTGCCATATCGTCTGGTGAAAGGGTTAAATCACTTCACCTCTTGCACTTTTAGATGCAAATCAGTTTTTCATTTCTGTAATAGAAGATTATTCATGTATTTTTACATCATTTGTTTTTCCTGACCAGTATTTAAAACCAAAAGGATATTCTGAAAAATGGCCAACGAGTTTTTTAGAAACAGCATCCCAAGCAGCGTGCCTAAACATTACATTGCATATGGAAATAAAAGAATCAAATGTCTAATGCCTTATTCCTTATTTCCCTTTCATTTTAGATAGTGTAGAAACTTCCTGCAGCTCCTAAGGTGTACCTAGCACCTCGAGGACAAGGGGTAGCAGGAAGCCTGGACTGGTGGTGAGGGGCTGGTGTGGCCTTCATGCTGCCTCAGGACCCTCTTCTCTTGGGAGCTCCTCTCAGAAGACACCGCCCTCACGTGTTCTCTGGAACCTGGCGCCACCAGACAGCAGGGCTCCTCTGCTTGTCTCAGGGATCCCTGGCGCCGGGGGTTGCAGGGCTGCTGACGGACGGTGCGCTGTTGTCTCACTTGCTGGTGAGCTTTGGAGCTGTGGCCAGAGTTTGACGCTATAGTCTTGTTGCCTGTAAGGTTTAGATTTGATTGTCTTTTTCATCCCAACCAAGGTAACTGGTGTTTTACTTCATCCCGCCTCCTGCTAGGGAAAGAGCGCTTAGGGTGTTCCTTTGGGGTAGGGTTGTGGTTTGCTGCTCATATGTGGTGGGGAACAAAAAGAACTGGCCAGTTGGGGTTAGGGGGCACCAGCCTGCGGACAGTAGCGATTTCACTCTCCTCAAGTTCCTACTTTCAATTCTGTGTATTGGCCATATGAATGCAAGACTAACAGATGTCTATAATACAATACCTGTATCTAAACTAAAAATAAAGCCTGATTCTGTTTCTAGACATTTTCTCTTGTATCTTGTGTGGCCTTTAATAACCAGGTAAGATGTGGGGCTGCAGCAAGGAAACCTGTGCCATCTCTACATTCTGTGCCAGCTGCCATGGAAAGAGGCTGAGCTATGCTGAAGTGTGATACCTGTGGGATTGAGACTCATCTACCCACTGCTTGGCCCACACCAGAAACTCAGTTGTACCATGCATTCTCATTAAGAAGGAAACTGCTCTTGTTTCCCAGCCCAAGACTCTTCTCTGCTGCTCTGTCATATTACCTTCTCCATGTGTCACACTCCCCTACCCCAGTTCTTGGCTCTCACCCCAATCGATGCCACTAGGTTGATAAAATTTCTCAGGTGTTCAATCCTGACTGTTGCTAGGCTGTTTTCGCAGCATGCACAATGGTGTGACTTAGCCAGGTTCAGCTGTTTCTTCTATCAGATGAAAAAGATCTCAGTGTTGCGTTCATAGACTAAACTAGATGGTCCTATCTGCTCACTTCTTTTTTTTTTTTTTTAGTTTTATTTAAGGAGAAAAAAAAAGCAGAGAAAGGGTACAAGTTACACGGATCTACAGAAAAAAATTAACAGTAGGAATTCACTAGTTAATGGATTACATATTGTCATCTTAGAAATAATTGTTCAAGTCACAAAATTAAAGCTTGTAAAGTGGACATTCCAACAGTGAGACTGCAAACAGTTCTGTTCAATGATCCAACAAAACTCAGTGATATCATTATCTATCTTATACACTTAAATATACATGTAGTTATATCATTTAGAGCACTTTCTTTTCCTCTCTTTTGTACAATGACAATTACACATTTTGGGTTTTGTTACTCCCACAGTTCTTATTACTTTTTTGAAAGGGAGTAGAACCAAATGTGACAGAACAGTCAATCAAATCAAAAGGGTGGACATAATAGATAATGTAAAAGCATAATACAAGGTGCTCAACAATGGTTATCATAGTGCCTCCCGCTATCTCTAATAGAATTGCCTATATCATCAGTTATAATAAAATTGAATAAAACAGTAAAGAACAAAACTGACAAAACCAAAACATTGGAGACATTATAGGTCTTCAAAAGTAGATAATAATCAACGAGAATGGGCGTCATAATGAATCTCACTATCTTCACAGCTGTTGCCTAAACTTTCGAACCTGGTACTATCAAGCAAAACAGAATAGGGGGACATCAGTCAAAAACAAAATGGTGAGAGTAATACAGGGCTTTAAATCAAGATAATGGAAAGTCAAGGTGGGTTACTATAATATATCCTGCTATTTTTTATTTTTCCCTTAATTAAAAGGATAAAAATAAAGTAAAAAATGAAGTGGAGATTGAGATAAAAGAGGGCATAACAGCAAAACAGCGCAGATCAAAACATAACCATTTAAGCAGAATAGTGTTTCACCACAAGATAATCCTGACATAAAAGTAGTTACCATATTGTCTCTTTCCTTGAAATCTTTGAGTATAACTTCGTATACTGTAGCATCAAATATATCAAAACAATGTAAAACCATTTAAGAGAATGACAGCATTACAGGGTATTTAGAATCAACTAACAGAAAATGAACAATGGTTTCTGTATAATCTCCTTGTCTTTAAAAGTTTTTGCTTATACTATCATACATAATAAAATCCAATAAGATAACAACCTGTTTAGACCAATGGAGACAGAACAAAAGCTTGATGAGACTTCAAAACACGATGATACTAAATCAGTATTACCTATTAAAACGTCATTTTCTCCAAAATAGCTGTTCCTATCATCCAGTCTTCTCTGCCTCATTTCTGTTGAGCTCTTTTTCTGTGATTAGTTGTCAGTTTGTCTTCTTCATTTTGTTTTCTGCTCCATTCATTGTGCCCTCTCTGCCACTATTTCTGGGTTCTTTGTATTTTTCTTTTTTAAAATATCCTGCAGTATTCTCTGTAGAGTTGGGTTGCATATTCCCCTAGTTCCTCTTTATCCTGGAACCACCTTGTTTTCCCATCAATTTCCAGGGATAGTTGTGCAGGATATATCAATCTTGGCTGGAGATTATTATCTTTCAAAGCTTGAATTATTTCCCCCCACGCTCTTCGTGATTTGATGGTTTGTGCAGAGAAATCTGCTGTAATTCTGATGGGTGTTCCCTTGTAAGTGGTCTGTTTCTTGTCTCTGACAGCTTTTAGTATTCTGTTCTTGTATTGAATTTCTGGAATTTTGATTATTATATGCCTGGGTGTTGCTCTGTTTGGGTTGTAGGTGGCTGGGGTCCTGTATGCTTCATACAACTGAGTATCTTTACCTTTTGCTAAATTAGGAAAATTCTCCTGGATTACTTCTGTGAGTAGCTTTTGTAGTTCATTTGTTTGTGTCCCTACTTCTTCTTTTATGTTCTTAATTCTTAAGTTATGGATCCTCTTATCATCTTCTAGTCTTTGTATTATTGCTGTTTGTTTCTTTGTTACTTTTAAGAAGTTTTTCATTTCATTCTCCTATATTACAAATCTGCCCTCCAGTTCAGATAGTCTGTCCTTAGTTTCTTTCAAGCTGTTATGCCAGTTTTTGATAGAGTTTTTAGTTTCCTGGTAGTCTCTTTGAACCTACTTCACGTATTCTATGCTTTCTCTATTTTCTCCATCAAACACTTCTCCCCTCTTTTTCTGTTCTTCCATTCCACCATCTGTTTTTTCTTGGGTGGTGCTTAGCATTTCTCTAACTATTCTGCTTATTTCTAGCTTCAGGTCATTAATAACTTCATTCCTGAACTCATCTATGAGGCTCTCTAGATGGCGCTTTATGTCTATTGGTGCAGTGTCCACTATTGCCTGATTCTCAGGATTGGGGGCCAAAGGGCCTTTCTTGTTGCTCCCTCTTCCCATATTCTTTGTTCCTTATATATGCAAGTGTATATAGGAGGCCCAGCTTCCCTCCCTGTCAGCCACAGCCTGATCGAATTGCGCCGGCTAGGTGTTCCTGCCCACCGCAGCAGACCAGGTAGCCTACTCGGGGCCCGCCCCTCCAGGCCACCCTCAGGCTCTGGGATCTGGGTTGTGCTAGCCTACTGGGTCTCAGCCAGCAGCGTCACGTAGGCTAGGCACTTCTCACCAATCCCACTTGAGAGGGGGATACGTGGCTGAAGTCTCTGCAGCGCCCCACTCCCGCAAGTCTGCCCAGTCCCAGAATGACTTCCGCTGGAGTCTCCTAAACTGTGGAAGAGTGTCAGTTTCTCTCACTCACCTCATCACAAGTCAATGCACAGCTCCCCGCCCGTCCTGTTTTCAACTCCGTTCACCGATTCCTGTTCTCAGAGCTTCTGCGCGTCTCTCTCCCTGCCGAGCCGACGAATAGGCAGCTGCCGCGTGGTGGGAAACCCAAATCGTGGCTTCCAATGGTGCGGGCTCCAGCTTCCACACTGAGGCTTTTCTGTTCCTGTTCTAGCACCAGGATTGCATTCCAAGTTGGTTTCTCTCAGCCCAGTTCGTTCTTGTGTCAGCAGGGCATATCTCCTCCTGCTTATGATTCCTTACTCCGCACCATTCCTGAATTCTAAGCTGAGTCTTTTAGAGAGCCTCCGTAGCTGCTGTTATCTGTCCGCCATGTTCTCCTGGAAGTCCTCTATCTGCTCACTTCTTAACCTTAAAATTTCACCTGGTAACCTTCCCGACTACTAACTCACCCCGCAGTTCTATTCAGAGTTCACCTCCAGAAAAATCAAGTATCTTCAGTGAGGTGTAAGATCCTGCTTCAGGAGTCAGGCAGTGTACCACATCTATCCCCCTACATCTGTGTGCAAGCAAAACTGGATGGATGTGTGGAAAGAAAGGAACCTTGATTCTTAATATGTGCATCCTGGTAAAAGATTAACCCAACATGATTGTAGATGTTCACAAGCACTTAGTGAAGATTCTACAAGAAAAACATCTAATCTTCAGCAGGGTAAGGATTGTTCAGAACAGCACAAACCATGGAAGAGAGAAATGGAGTGTCCACCAAAGTGACGATTTCTCTGCTTTTCAAAATAGACAAGTGATGGACTTCCAGGGGAAAAAATAAAGTGTGTCCTGATGGGACTCATTGGCATACAGGAAAAAATGCAACTCAAAGGTGAAAAGCCCAATTTAACAAGGGACTTAAAAGGTCCACAAGAAAGATCCATGAGTGGTCAATAAGAACAAGAGAAGTCCTTCACCTTAGTGTCAAGATAAGTTACAACTGAAAACCTACACCATCCCCGCCTCACTTGCTAACATTGAAAAGACAAGGTTCAGATACGAGACTATGGACTCACTGGAACTCACATATTGCACCTGAAATGAGATCCAGTTTTGAAAATTGTTGGTCAAGTGTTTTGTTTTTCCAGTCAAAATTAGGCAAACTCCTGCCTTGTGACTTAATTCTGCTAGATGTTCAATATAATGGAAATGTGTGTCCACAAAAGATTAGTCCGACGATGTTTATTGTCATTTTATTCATAATTTTTTAAAGAATGAATAGGCAGATTGCAATTTTGGGATTATACTACAGTTTGTCCTGCAGTAATCGGGAATGAACTGTGACAAGACAAGATACAGACTAAGAATGTGTTAGGTGAAAGACAACAGAAGCACATACACAGCCACCTGCACTCAGGGTTTTAGAATCTGCATTAAACTATAGTACTAGAGGTCAACACAGTGTGTTCGCCCTGTGTTCAGTTTTCTGTTGTAATACCACAGGCTGGATAAGTTTTAAAGCAGGGTGACATTGGTTCACAGTCCTGAGGAGGCCCGTGGTGTTAGATGAGAATCCATGTGTGTTCTAATTGTCTCTTTTTGAGACAGAGTCTCACTATTTGGTTTAGGCTGACCTTGGGCTCACTTCGTATCCTAGGCTGGTCTTGAACTTGCAACAATCTGCCTGCTTCAGCCTCCCAAGAGCTGGGATTACAAGAGTGCGCCACCACTCCTGGCCTAATTGCCTCTTTTAAAGCTGCAAATATTCCATTGTGGAGGCTCCAGCCTGATGACCCTTACT